CCACAAGAGCATTAGTGAGGTCGGGCACTGATGTTGGGCGATTAGGCCTGGCTCACAGTCGGCGTTCCAATTCATCCCAAAGATGTTCGATGGGGTTGAGGTCAGGGCTCTGTGCATGAAGAAACTGCCCCAGACCATCATTCCTCCTCCACCAAACTTTATGCATTTGGGCAGGTAGCGTTCTCCTTGCATCCGCCTAACTCAGATTCGTCGGACTGCCAGATGGTGAAGCATGATTTATCACTCCCGAGAACGCGTTTCCACTGCTCCAGAGTCCAATGGCGGTGAGCTTTACACCACTCCAGTCGACACATGGCATTGCTCATGGTGATCTTAGGCTTGTGTGCAGCTGCTCGGCCATGGAAACCCATTTCATGAAGCTCCCGACGAACAGTTATTGTTCTGACGTTGCTCCCAGAGGCAGTTTGGAACTCTGTAGTGAGTGTTGCAACCGAGGACAGACGATTTTTACACGCAATGCGCTTCAGCACTCGTCGGTCCCTTTCTGTGAGCTTGTGTGGCCTACCACTTCGTGGCTGAGCCGTTGTTGCTCCTAGACGTTTCTACTTCACAATAACAGCACTTACAGTTGACCGGGGCAGCTCTAGCATGGCAGAAATTTGACGAACTGACTTGTTGGAAAGGTGGCATCCTATGACGGTGCCACGTTGAAAGTCACTGTCATTCTACTTCCAATGTTTGTCTATGGAGATGGCATGACTGTGTGCTCGATTTTATACACCTGTCAGCAAGGGGTGTGACTGAAATGGCCGAATCCACTAATTTGAAGTGATGTCCACATATATTTGTGTATATATACACTACCGTTCAAAAGTTTGGAGACTAGTTGAGTATCTGGAGCATCAGCAATTGTGGTTTCGATTACAGGCTCAAAATGGCCAGAAACAAAGAACTTTCTTCTGAAACTCGTCAGTCTATTCTTGTTCTGAGAAATGAAGGCTATTCCATGCGAGAAATTGGCAAGAAACTGAAGTTCTCGTACAACGCTGTGTACTACTCCCTTCACAGAACAGCGCAAACTGTCTCTAACCAGAATAGAAAGAGGAGTGGGAGGCCCCGGTGCACAACTGAGCAAGAGGACAAATACATTAGTGTCTAGTTTGAGAAACAGACTCCTCACAGGTCCTCAACTGGCAGCTTCATTAAATAGTACCCGCAAAACACCAGTCTCAATGTCAACAGTGAAGAGGCGACTCCGGGATGCTGACCTTCTAGGCCGGGTTGCAAAGAAAAAGCCATATCTCAGACTGGACAATAAAAATAAAATATTAAGGAGTCACCTCTTCACTGTAGACGTTGTCTACACTGACAAAACATTAAGAACACCTGCTCCAGGTGAAGGCTAAGATCCCTTATTGATGACACTTGTTAAATCCACTTCAATCAGTGTAGATGAAAGGGAGACAGGGTAAAGGATGATTTTTAAGCTTGAGACAATTGAGACTTGGGATTGTGAATGTCTTCCATTCAGAAGGTGAATGGGCAAGACAAAATATATAGGTGCTATTGAACAGGGTATGGAAATAGGTGCCAGGCGCACCGGTTTGTGGCACCGGTTTGTGTCAAGAGGTGCAACGCTGTTGGGTTTTTCACGCTCAACAATTTCCCGTGTGTATCAAGAATGGTCCATCACTCAAAGGACCTCCAGCCAATTTGTCACAACTGTGGGTCAACATTGGAGTCAACATGGGCCAACATCCCTGTGGAATGCTTTCGACACCTTGTAGAGTCCATGCCTTGATGAATTGAGGCTGTTCTGAGGGCAAAGGGGGGGGTGCAACTCAATATTAGGAAGGTGTACCTGATGCTTGGTATACTCAGTGTATAGATGGAGTGCATTCGGAAAGTATTCAGACACCTTGACTTTTTCCACATTTTGTTACGTTACATCCTTATTCTAAAATGGATTTTAAAAAAAATAATCCCCTCATCAATCTACACACAATACCCCATAATGACAAAGCAAAAACTGGTTTTTAGAAATTTTTGCAAATGTATAAAAAATAAACAACTGAAATATCGCGTTAACATAAGTATTCAGACCCTTTACTCAGTACTTTGTTGAAGCACCTTTGGCAGCGATTACAGCCTTGAGTCTTCTTGGGTATGACGCTACAAGCTTGGCACACCTGTATTTGGGGAGTTTCTTCAATTCTTCTCTGCAGATCCTCTAAAGCTCTGTCAGGTTGGATGGGGAGCGTCGCTGCACAGCTATTTTCAGGTCTCTCCAGAGATGTTCGATCAGGTTCAAGTCCAGGCTCTGGATGGGCCACTCAAGGACATTCAGAGACTTGTCCCGAAGCCAGTCCTGCGTTGTCTTGGCTGTGTGCTTACGGTCGTTGTCCGGTTGGAAGGTGAACCTTCGCCCCAGTCTGAGGTCCTAAGCGCTCTGGAGCAGGTTTTCATCAAGGATCTCTCTGTACTTTGTTCCGTTCATCTTTGCCTCGATCCTGACTAGTCTCCCAGTCCCTGCCGCTGAAAAACATTCCCACAGCATGATGGTGCAACCACCATGCTTCACCGTAGGGATGGTGCCAGGTTTCCTCCAGACGTGACGCTTGGCATTCAGGCCAAAGAGTTCAATCTTGGTTTCATCAGACCCGAAAATCTTGTTTCTCATGGTCTGAGAGTATTTAGGTCCCTTTTGGCAAACTCTAAGCTGGCTGTCATGTGCATTTTACTGAGGAGTGACTTCTGTCTGGCCACTCCACCATAAAGGCCTGTTTGGTGGAGTGCTGCAGAGATTGTTGTCCTTCTGGAAGGTTCTCCCATCTCCACAGAGGAACTCTGGAGCTCTGTCAGAGGGACCATCGGGTTCTTCGTCACCTCCCTGACCAAAGCCCTTCTCCCTCGATTGCTCAGTTTGGCCAGGCGACGGCCAGCTCTAGGAAGAGTCTTGGTGGTTCCAAACTTCTTCCATTTAAGAATGATGGAAGCCACTGTTCTGTTGGGGACATTCAATGCTGCAGAAATGTTTTGGTACCCTTCCCCAGATCTGTGCCTCGACACAATCCTGTCTCGGAGCTCTACGGACGATTCCTTCGACCTCATGGCTTGATTTTTGCTCTGACATGCACTGTCAACTGTGGGACCTTATATAGACAGGTGGGTGCGTGTCCAAATCATGTCCAATCAAGTTGAAGAAACATCTCAAGGATGATCAATGGAAACAGGATGCACCTGAGCTCAATTTCGAGTCTCATAGCAAAGGGTTATGTAAATACAGTATTTCTGTTTGTTTTTTAAAATATACATTTGCAAACGTTTCTCTAAACCTGTTTGTTTTGTCATTATGGGGAATTTGTTGTATTTTTTTATGGGGTGTTGATTTACCCAGTTTATCAATAGAAATGTACCATTGAAATAAATGATTACCATTATGATGTTATGTAGTTAGATTTGGTAAAAAACAAAGTCAAATTGATTGTAATTCTGTGACTGGCTAATACGCCTTCTTTTTTTTGCCTTGTTTTGGTATCGAGTATCGAGAATCGTGATACTAAACCTGGTGTATCGGTATCAAAGTCAAAATTCTGGTATCATGACAACACCATTCTTTTCCCTTTCAGAGCTTTCAAAATTCAAAAGTTCAAAATTCAAAAAGTTTCACAAAATTGTGAAAAGGTCTGGGGGGCCTTCGAGGCTTTGAGTGTTAAAGCTCTAATTCAAAGAAATGCAATTATCAACTGAAGTTAAGATGTAGTTTTAGTAGCTACACATTTTTGCTTAGCTCACTAATGACGCCTGAACACCCATCTGTGAACCTAATAGACTGTGTGTGTGTGTGTGTGTGTGAGTTCCAAATGGCACCCTAAGCCCAGGTAGTGCACTAATCAGGGAATACCGTGCCTTTTGGGACGTAGCCTGTGTTCTTCGATAAGTTGCCAAACAGAGAGAGAAACGCATTGATTGCTGCTTAGAAAACCTGCCCAGAGCTTCTTCAGGAGAAGCTCTGGGCATCACCCCAGTCCGGGCTCTGAGAAATAATCGTAGGCAGCGCTGCAGTTTTGGGAGAGTGTGCATGCGTGGGTGTGTGCACTCGTGGATGCATGCTTTTGAGTTCAATATCATTACATTTGAAATTCTTTGCTCAACATTTTTCCGAGACAGCCATGTATACACTACCGGTCAAAAGTTTTAGAACACCTACTCATTCAAGGGTTTTTCTTTATTTTTTACTATTTTCTACATTGTAGAGTAATAGTGAAGTCATCAAAACTATGACATAACACATATGGAATCATGTAGTAACCAAAAAAAGTGTTAAACAAATCAAAATATATTTTATATTTGAGATTCTTCAAATAGCCACCCTTTGCCTTGATGCCTTGAAAATGTTTTTAGCCTGGCAGTGATGTGAGGTCACGTGTCCAACCTCCCTAAACAATCATGTCATCCCCACGTCACATATCCCTCCTCCCTTGCCGCCACAGTTCCCCTGGCGACTGGTTTCTTCACAAACACACACCAGTTTCCTCTTCAAACCCATGTAGAATTTCCATGGGTGCTAATTTATACACACAATAGAAACTCCATTCAGTGAAAGGACTATTTCAAACTCATTGGGGAGTCACCAAGCCATGCCCCCCGTAGGCCCATTAAACCAGCTGCTACTTATACTGACTGGGGGACATGTTGAGACTAGCTCCAGTCTTATGGGATCAGGGGATAGACATGTTGAGGCCCCTGCCGTTGTGCCCTTGAGCAAGGCACTTAACCCCCTGTGTTATTCCCAGGCTATGACCCTGTGCTGCTCCCAACCTATGAATGGTGTGTGTGGGGTTAGGGTTATAACATAAAATAGCAAAAACACAGATTTACGATTCACATTGGACAATTAAGTTAATCTATTTTTCCATCTGCCCCCCCCCCCCCCCCCCCCCCCCCCCCACCTCCTCTCCCCTCCTCCTCTCCCTCTATCGCTCCTCCTCTCCTCCCCACTCTCCCTCTCCTCTCCCACCCCCTCATCCCTCCTCCAGGCATGCACACAAGCATCAGTGAGATCTTGAAGGGGAAGACGCTGAAGCCGTCCCGTCGCAGCCTGCCCTGCCTGGCCCAGAGCCAGACACACCCACAGAGCCTCAACCGCTTTCTGTCCATGCCCTGCACCCCCAACGACAAGCCCCAGACACACCCACGGGTAGGGCTGGGAGTTGGCAGGGATTTTATCACAATACTTAAGTCAGTAGTTCTAAAAACCACTTCTCGGGGATCCCGAGATGTTTCACAATTATGTTGTAGCCCTGAACAAGCTCACCGGATTAATCTAATCAAGGCCTTGATTAGTTGACAAGTTGAATCAGGTCTGGAATAGAGAACAACATTTTACGTCTGGGGGGTCCCCGAGGAGGGGTTTGAGAACCAATGATTCAATACATATTGTGATTCTATGTACAGTGCATTCGGAAAGTATTCAGACCCCTTCCCCTTTTCCACATTTTGTTACGTTACAGCCTTATTCTAAAATTGATTGATGAGGAAATACATTCATGCAATCTACACACAATACCCCATAATGACAAAGCGAAGACAGGTTTTATACATTTTTGCTAATTGTATTCAGACCCTTTGCTATGAGACTAGAAATTGAACTCAGGTGCATCCTGTTTCCATTGATCATCCTAAATGTTTCTACAACTTGATTGGAGTCCACCTGTGGTAAATTCAATTGATTGGACATGATTTGGAAAGGCACACACCTGTCTATATCAGGTCCCACAGTTGATAGTGCATGTCAGAGCAAAAACCAAGCCATGAGGTCGAAGGAATTGTCCGTAGAGCTCCGAGACAGGATTGTGTCGAGGCACAGATCTGAGGAAGGGTACTAGAGCTGGCCGCCTGGCCAAACTGAGCAATCAGGGGAGAAGGGCCTTGGTCACGAAGGTGACCAAGAACCCGATGGTCACACTTGACAGAGCTCCAGAGTTCCTCTGTGGCGATGGGAGAACCTTCCAGAAGGACAACCATCTCTGCAGCACTCCACCAATCAGGCATTTTATGGTAGAGTGGCCAGACGAAAGCCACTCCTCAGTAAAAGGCACATGACAGCCCGCTTGGAGTTTGCCAAAAGGGACCTAAAGGACTCTGACCATGAGAAACAAGATTCTCTGGTCTGATGAAAGCAAGATTGAACTCTTTGGCCTGAATGCCAAGCGTCACGTCTGGAGGAAACCTGGCACCATCCCTACGGTGAAGCATGGTGGTTGCACCATCATGCTGTGGGAATGTTTTTCAGCGGCAGGGACTGGGAGACTGGTCAGGATTGAGGCAAAGATGAACGGAACAAAGTACAGAGAGATCCTTGATGAAAACCTGCTCCAGAGCGCTTAGGACCTCAGATTGGGGCGAAGGTTCACCTTCCAACCGGACAACGACCGTAACCACACAGCCAAGACAACGCAGGAGTGGCTTCGGGACAAGTCTCTGAATGTCCTTGAGTGGCCCAGCCAGAGCTCGGACTTGAACCCGATCGAACATCTCTGGAGAGACCTGAAAATAGCTCTGCAGCGACACTCCATATCCAACCTGACAGAGCTTGAGAGGATCTGCAGAGAAGAATGGGAGTAACTCCGCAAATACAGGTGTGCCAAGCTTGTAGCGTCATACCCAAGAAGACTCAAGGCTGTAATCGGTGCCAACGGTGCTTCAACAAGTTACTGAGTAAAGGGTCTGAATACTTACGGTACCAGTCAAAATTTGGACACATCTACTAATTCCAGGGTTTTTCTTTATTTTTACTATTTTCTACATTGTAGAATAATAGTGAAGACATCAAAACTATGAAATAACACATATGGAATCATGTAGTAACCATAAGTGTTAAACAAAATCAAAATATATTTTATATATTTGCCTTGATGACAGCTTTGCATACTCTTGGCATTCTCTCAACCAGCTTCATGAGGATGTATTTCTGGAATGTATTTCAATTAACAGGTGTGCCTTATTAATTTGTGGAATTTCTTTCCTTCTTAATGTGTTTCTGCCAATCAGTTGTGTTGTGACAAGGTAGGGGTGATATACAGAAGATAGCGTCTTTAGTAAAAGACCAAGTCCATATTATGTCAAGAACAGCTCAAATAAGCAAAGAGAAACGACAGTCCATTACTTTAAGACATGAAGGTCAGTCAATCCGGAAAATTCCAATAACTTTGAACGTTTTTTTCAAGTGCATTCTCAAAAACCATCAAGCCCTATGATGAAACTGGCTCTCATGAGTACTGCCACAGGAAAGGAAGACCCAGAGTTACATCTGCTGCAGAGGATAAGTTAATTAGAGTTACCAGCCTCAGAAATTGCATCTCAAATAAATGCTTCACATATTAACAGACGCATCTCAACTGTTCAGAGGAGACTGTGTGAATCATGGTCAAATTGCTGCAAAGAAAACACTACTAAAGGACACCAATAAGAGGAAGAGACTTGAATGGGCCAAGAAACACGAGCAATGGACATTAGACTGGTGGAAACTGTCCTTTGGTCTGATGATTCCAAATTTGAGATTTTTGGTTCCAACCACCGTGTCTTTGTGAGATGCAGAGTTGGTCAACGGATGATCTCCTTGTGTGGTTCCCACCGTGAAGCATGGAGGAGGAGGTGTGATGGTGTGGGGGTGCTTTGCTGGTGACACTGTCTGTGATTTATTTACAATTCAAAACACTCTTAACCAGCATGGCTACCACAGTATTCTGCAGCGATACGCCATCCCATCTGGTTTGCGCTTAGTGGGACTATCATTTGTTTTTCAACAGGACAATGACCCAACACACCTCCAGGCTGTCTAAGGGCTATTTGACCATCAGATGACCTGGCCTCCTCAACCCAATTGAGATGGTTTGGGATGAGTTGGACCGCAGAGTGAAGGAAAAGAAGCCAACAAGTGCTCAGCATATGTGGGAACTCCTTCAAAAGCATTCCAGGTGAAGCTGGTTGAGAGAATGCTAAGAGTGTGCAAAGCTGTCATCAAGGTAAAGGGTGGCTACTTTGAGGAATCTAAAATCTAAAATACTTTCTTTGTTTACTACATGATTCGATCGATTGATGTATTATTTCGTAGTTTGTCTTCACTATTATTCTACAATATAGAAAATAGTAAAATGTAAGAAAAACCCTTGAATGAGTAGGTGTGTCCAAACTTTTGACTTGTACTGTATGTAAATGTCATATTTCAGTTTTTTTATTTTTAATACATTTGCAAAAATTTCAAAAACTGTTTTTTGCTTTGCCATCATGGGATATTGTGGGTAGGTTGAAGGGGAAAAAACAATTTAATCAATTTTAGAATAAGGCTGTAACGTAACAAAATGTGGAAAAAGTGAAGGTGTCTGAATATTTTCCCGAATGCACTGTATGTATCATGATTATATCGATTGAGATTTGATATTCCAAACATATTGCTCATTTTATGTCTGCTGCAGAGAGACGAGAGGGCCGTGAGAAGCTATAGGACGATAAATAGCAGGTGCAGCCGACTAGCTGGATCTATTTTTCCTCTTCTGTCTGCAGTCTGAGCTCCAGGACCGGACACACGCCCAGGTCCAGACCCAGCAGGCCGACCCCTGGCTACAGCACCAGGGCCAGGACCACTCTCAGCTCCAGACCCAACCCCAGACCCAGCCTCTTACCCACAGTCACAGCACCCCCTGCACCCTCATCTCCTCCAAGACAGGTCAGTCGGTCGGTCGGTCTGTGTGTCAGTCTGTCTGTCTGTTCTTCACACAGCCTGTCAGAGATTTAGACACATTCCACAGCGATTTACAGTGCATACCGTTTTTTAGTGTTCTGTCTCCTAGAGATGAACGTACTTTGGTGCGAAAAGTGCATATCAATCCCAGAACAACAGCAAAGGACCTTGTGAAGATGCTGGAGGAAACAGGTACAAAAGTATCTATATCCACAGTAAAACGAGTCCTATATCGACATAATGAAAGGCCGCTCAGCAAGGAAGAAGCCACTGCTCCAAAACCGCCATTAAAAAAGCCAGACTACGGTTTGCAACTGCACATGGGGACAAAGATTGTACTTTTTGGAGAAATGTCCTCTGGTCTGATGAAACAAAAATAGAACTGTTTGGCCATAATGACCATCGTTATGTTTGGAGGAAAAAGGGGAAGGCTTGCAAGCCGAAGAACACCATCCCAACCGTGAAGCACATTTACATTTTTGTCATTTAGCAGACGCTCTTATCCAGAGCTTACAGTTAGTGAATACATATTATTAGTACTTTTTATTTTTTTATACTGGCCCCCCATGGGAATCGAACCCACAACCCTGGCGTTGCAAACGCCATGCTCTATCAACTGAGCTACATCCCTGCCGGCCATTCCCTCCCCTACCCTGGACGACGCTGGGCCAATTGTGCGCCGCCCATGAGTCTCCCGGTCGCGGCCGGCTGCGACAGAGCCTGGATTCGAACCAGGATCTCTAGTGGCACAGTTAGCACTGCGATGCAGTGCCTTAGACCACTGCGCCACTCAGGAGCTAATAACTGCAATAACTATCAATAATAATTATAATAACTATTACGAATTATATTGTGTCCTTTTTCTGATGTTATAATTGTAGTCTATTCCATCACTTTAGTTTAAAATATAAATTTATTTATAACAAATCCAGAACCCACCACAGGCTGGCGCTATTCCCCCAGAACAACAGCCAATGCCACTTGCTTCTCGACGGACAGCACCGCTGTTTTCAAACGTGTAGAATACATTCCAGGTCCGATTCCCCTCCTGTCATGAGTATAATCTACATTAACACTGTGTCAAGTTACTTTTCAGTGTGTTCCCAGAAAATCAGAAGTTGCCATCAACAAGTAAAAAGTAGTCAGGGGGTGCGGGTGCTGCACACGGTGCACCCAGGTAAAACAACGTCAGAATCTTTGAAGGGGTTCGATTAATCTCGCCCGGGCACACGTGTACTCGTGTTTTACTCCGGCTGAAAAGTTGATCGCATTCGATTTGGAAACGGGCTGCCTCCCGGAAAGTGAGCCAGGTGTCTGCTCTGTCTGACGACGAAGTTTGGCTCAAAACAAAAAAATTACGTAATTAAGCACGTGTAGTAATGAGTAGGATTCTGTGTTTTCATAATGCAAAAGTGATTGCTTTTGATTAAAAAAAACGCATTATCTGCCTTCCCTCCCCACTCGGCCAAATCTCTGCTTGCGACATGCTGTGAGCAGTCAAAAGAAAATGACATGCTTGCTAACTTTGTTAACTATGTGATTTAAATGAGTCTGTTTTCAACAAATTAACTGTTTTAGACTTGTATTATATATTTTTATTATTATATATTTTTATTTGGTATTTTACCCCCTTTTTCTACCCAATTACGATCTTGTTTCATCGCTGCAACTCCCCAACGGGCTCGGGAGAGGTCTCTGGTTGAGAGAAATTTCCTAGAGTGTGCAAAGCTGTCATCAAGGTACGGAGCTGTGAGGGGAACGGCACCTCCGTACCTTCAGGCTCTGATCAGTCCCTACACCCAAACGAGGGCATTGCGTTCATCCACCTCTGGCCTGCTGGCCCCCCTACCTCTGCGGAAGCACAGTTCCCGCTCAGCCCAGTCAAAGCTGTTCGCTGCTCTGGCACCCCAATGGTGGAACAAGCTCCCTCACGACGCCAGGACAGCGGAGCCACTCACCACCTTCCGGAGACATTTGAAACCCCACCTCTTTAAGGAATACCTGGGATAGGATAAAGTAATCCTTCTACCCCCCCCCCCCCCCCCCCCCCCCCCCTCTTTAAAAAAAAAAATAACCAATTTGTAAGTCGCTCTGGATAAGAGCGTCTGCTAAATGACGTAAATGTAAATGTAATCAAGGCAAAGGGTGGCTATTTGAAGAATCTCAAATATAAAATATATTTTGATTTGTTTAACACTTTTTTTTTGGTTACTACATGATTCCATATGTGTTATTTCATAGTTTTAATGTCTTCACTATTATTCTACAATGTTGAAAATTGTAAAAAATAAAGAAAAATCCTTGAATGAGTAGGTGTGTCCAAACTTTTTACTGGTACTGTATGTAAATGTGATTTTTTTTTTATAAATTCGCAAACAAAAAGTCAACGGGTCTGAATACATTCCGAATGCACTGTATATGTATATTCAGAAAATCAGCTGGGAAAACTGGTTGAAAGGACATCATTATAACAGAAACTGGTTCAAATGACGTTTTGAGATTATTATGACATTATTTCAACCAGTTTTCCCCTGTTTTGCCTGCTGGGTAACATTTCAGAATGTAGTGCTTTTGAAGAAAGTATAGGAAGGAACAGCATTGTTCAAGTGATGCTTTGCAGCATGACATAACATGACATGACATCCAAACATTAAGAATACAAATACTGTCTTGACCTTTTACAGATCATCCTGTATCTGTCTGTCTGTCAGAAGCTGTGAAGGTCCACTATGGGGAGGAGTCGGAAGCTGTGAAAGTCCACTATGGGGAGGAGTCAGAAGCTGTGAAGGTCCACTATGGGGAGGAGTCAGAAGCTAGTGTGTACGAGGCAGGAAGGACAGATGAGTCGTTTCTCATTCAGAAAAATGCAGTCCGAGCCAAATTAGAGGCACGCGCAGATTTCCTTCAGGTACCACAAACACAAGCACACATGCACACATGCACACACAGTAAAAAAAAAAAAAAAAAAAAAAAAGATTGGCCGTCAGGCGTGTCAATCACCCGGCTATTCCAACCAATCAGGACGCTTGGAAGCACAGCAGGGCTCCTTCCTCGACACCTCAAGTTAGCGCGTTTACATGCTGTTAAAAGAGGAAGAAAGTGCTGACGGACTATTCACATGCTGTTTCCTAACCTATACCATTTGAAATAAGACCACACAAGTAGATAAAACATCTTCAAATGGAAGCGGTGTGGTTCCGTGTGAGGTGGTGACCAAGCGTACAGTTATGGGCCTCAACATCACGTTCTGACCAGACAACCCTAGAGTGGTCAGATCTATGTCAATCAGCACATAAGTACATTGCAGGTGAGGGCTCAAAGCCAACCGCTCATGACGAGCTCCAGCTAGCCATTTTTTCACACGCACACCCACCCACCCACCCAATAACCAGAATGACACTGCACCAATCTCTTTCAATGTCTCACAGTTACGCAGCTTTGAAACATTTGATTGAGGCTAACTATCAAGCATTAATGAAGTTATTCTCTGTTTTGCACCACACTAAATGCTGTTTAAAACATGAATCTATTTGAGGTTATTAATATGTTTTAGTTGATAAAAAAACAACAAGTTGTTGACATAAGCGTTTATGAATTGCTTATGTACTGCTTATGAATGTGTTATACAGGCTTTGTAGGTACCCTTCAAATAAAGTATTACTGATAAACACTTATTGCCGTAGGGGACCAACCCCGGGAAGCCATCTGGTCTGCTGTTCAGAGATGGGAAGAGGCGTATCGATTACATCCTGGTCTATAAGAAGTCCAGTCCTCTGGTGGAGAAGAGAGTCACCTTCGAGAGGAACCTGAGAGCTGAGGGGGTGATGCTGGAGAAGGAGGTAGGGTACATGTGTCACAGTAAATAACGGGTCGGCAACAGGGGGCCTCCGGCCAAAACCGGCCCGCGAGTTATACTTTCTTTTAGGATTTTAGTTTTGGGTAAAAAAAAAAAAAAAAAAAGAGACAAAAATCACTTCATTCAGCAAAAAAGGAGTTTAATTTTTGGAAATCTGTTCCCAAGTATTCCTACGAATACATAGGCCCACCCAATTGGGAGACAGGCCCAGCCAATAGAGTTTTTCCCTACAAAAGGGCTTTATTACATACAGAAATACTTTTCAGTTTCATCAGCTGTCCGGGTGGCTGGTCTCGGACGATCCCGCAGGTGAAGAAGCCGGATATGGAGGTCCTGGGCTTGCATAGTTATGTGGTCTGCAGTTGTGAGGCTGGTAGGACATACTGCCAAATTCTCTAAAAACGACGTTGGAGGCGGCTTATGGTAGAGAAATGAACATTAAATTATCTGGAAACGGCTCTGGTGGACATTGCTGCACTCAGCATGCCAATTGCACACTCCCTCAAAACTGGAGACATCTGTGGCATTGTTGTGACAAAACTGCACATTTTGGTGGCATTTTATGTCCTCAGCACAAGGTGCACCTTTGTAATGATCATGCTGTTTAATTAGCTTGTTGATATGCCACACCTGTCAGGTGGATGGATCATCTTGGTCAAAGGAGAAATGCTCGAGGTTGTAAACAAATTTCTGCACAAAATTTGAGATAAATAAGCTTTTTGTGCATATGGTAAATTTCTGGGATCTTTTATTTCACCTCATTTAATATAGGATATACTCTACTACTGTATACTACAACTACATTAATATAGTACATACTCTTTCCTATTAATGACAAAGTTTTTCTTCGTCTTCGTATTTTGCTACAGAGAATGTTTATGCCTTGAATTTGTTTTAACAACTGTTGATCAAAAGTGGTGTTCCACTGGGCACAGACGTCTGTTCAACGTCTACTTTTGGTTGAGTTGTCAACTAAACATGAAATCAACCAAAAATGTCACCATGTCATTGTATTTAGGTTAAGTTGGGTGAAAGAAAGTGTTGATTACTTTTTTGCATATCCAATCAGTTTCCCACATTGATTTAATGTCATCACAAACTTTTTTTGTTGAAATGACGTGGAAACAATGTTGATTCAACCAGTTGTTTGTCCAGTGGGGTGGCACTCGTGAGCATATTCTCAAACATTGTCATCATGTCTTTGAAATGATATTCTCAAATATTGTCACAAGCTAATTTCCAATTTCGTCCCCTTGAAAGCCGTCTCTGACCAACACCGACATATTGTTTGTGAAGATCCATGCTCCCTGGGACACACTCTGTAAATACGCTGAGCAGATGAATATCAGGATGCCATTCAGGTAACACGTCCTATGAATACCCTCTACGTAATGCGTTATAAACACATCTATAACGCCTCAAGAGCTGTACATAATGCATTGTAATGCACGACATAAGCGCTAATAACCACTCATAAACATCTATGACAACAGCTCATTCCATAAAGCATTATGATCTCTCGTATGGCTTTGATCCGTTTGGATTCTTTGACCCAACCGATAGTGCCATCTAATTTTATTGTTTAATTTTTTTCAGGAAAAAAATGTACTTTACGGATTGCAAGAGTAAAGCTATGGGCAGGTACGTGAATTTACATGATTATCCTATTACGATCAGGCGCAGTGTGATGCTGAGCTGACTGGCTGAGCACTGCAGAGCACTTCTAATGAAGATACAGGATCAGGAGCATTCAGCACAGCCCCTGTTGACATCACTGTGAGCTCTAGCAGTTATTTTAAGATGCAGCCATCATCGGCCGATCAGGGAAGCTAGATGAGGGTCATTGTCATTTGATGGTGCTGAGGCTGTTATTTTAATTTGTAGAATAGAGATAGAGATAATATTATTTGTGTGATAGGACAGTGGGGAGTTACGGATAGAGTGAGATAGAGGTAGAAATGGCACCGACGGGAAAGCAGGGGAGTTGCGTGGTCTTGGGTCGACAGTCCCACTGCTACACCAGACTCCAGCACTCCGGATGTTGTATTAAAGATGCAGCCGTTGCTCATGGGCCGTCAGGGAGTTAGGTAGGAGAGGGTAAACTGTCATTTGATCACAGAGGGTGAATGGGTCAACCTGTCATTGAGCTCTACCCCAGAGGACTTTTAATTCATGATTTTAATTAATTCGTTCAGGATAAGTTTATCCTGCTATTTAAACCTGTTATGTTGTGTGTACAAATGTGAGATAATAAGCTCTTTTAAACCCAATAATAAGTCACCCTGAATCATTAAAGACTGTCTGCTGCAAAGTAAATCAGTGATAATAATGCGGTCTTCTATTGAGTATTTGCCTGTAAAATGCTAAAATGTGATTTCCATGTGATTTAATTATTATCATTGATCAAATAAAACGATATCTGGTATAATCCTGGTAATTTAACCCTGTGTGGTCTGTTGCTAGGTTAATCCGGGTAAATGAATCTGTTTTTCTCTGTGTCCTCTCTCCCTGAAGCCGGTTCCATCGGAGGTGTCGTCAGATAAAGAGTTGGTTACCCAGGAACCCCATGAAGCTGGACAAAGAGGCGTTACCTGACCTGGAGGAGACAGACTGCTATACAGCCCCCTTCAGCAGGGCACGCATGCACCAGTAGGTTACTGTAATATATCTAGAACCCTTACCCTAACCACCCTAACCTAACCCTTACCCTAACCACCCTAACCTAACCCTAACCACCCTAACCACCACCTAACCCTTACCTCAACCCCCTAGCCTGAACCCCCTAACCACCCTAACCCTTACCTCAACCCCCTAGCCTGACCCCCTAACCCTAACCACCCTAACCTTACCCTAACCTCAACCCCTAACCCTAACCCTTATACCCTAACCTCAACCACCTAACCTCAACCCCAACCCTAACCTACCTACTCCCAACCTACCCACAACCACTAACCCTAACCCTAAACCTCAACCCCAACCTAACCAACCCTAACCCTTACCTCCCAACCCCCTAACCTAACCCTTTCCCTTACCAACCCCCTAACCAACCTAACCCTCCCTACCTCAACCCTAACCCTAACCCTAACCCTAACCCTTACCTCAACTCCCTAACACCTAACCCTTCCCTTACCTCAACCCCCTAACCCTACCCTACAACCCTACCACTCCAAACTCCCTAACCTAACCCTAACCCTAACCCTTACCTCAACTCCCTAACCTAACCCTTTCCCTTACCTCAACCCCCTAACCCTAACCCTTTCCCTTACCTCAACCCCCTAACCCTAACCCTAACCCTTACCCTTACCTCAACTCCCTAACCTAACCCTAACCCTTACCCTTACCTCAACCCCCTAACCTAACCCCAACCCACTAAGCAGTGATGCAGAGAAAATGAATGTCTTTGTGTCCACCCACATGGCCTATGTTTGTCCTGGTTAGTCTCCTCAGTTACACTCTCGGTCCTCATTTCACTCTAACAGACTGGCTCATATGATGTGTGTTTGTTATACGCTATACTGGAGGTGTTAACGGAGGAGGAAGAGATTAAGTTATTTTTAGACAGTGACTGCAGTGTTCTGTCACTGTTATGACCATCTCTCCTGCTAGCCTCTCAATCCTCCCATCACTTGTAAAATAGACTGGCTTACTTGTATGATATGTTATGTGTTTGTGTGAATTGGGGGCAACAAGGAGGACACAATTATGAAGATAGAATGATTGCAAATAAAGTATTTCACAATACAGTTAATAATAACGGCAGCTGTTGTCTCTGTTATGACAACTCCCCCTTTCTTTACTCAAACTCTTTCTCTTTGATGGAAGTCAATAATTCAACTCATTTACATGCATTGTTTTTCTGCCAGATTGGTTAAATCTCCTCATCACTTTGACAGCCTTTTGTTCTTGGATTTAAAAAAAATGAGTTATTGCTTTTTTTTTTGCAGCATTTCATCTAATTACTGACTGTTGGTCCTGGAAATCCCCAATTTAGTGGAGATATTATTAGATGATTGACTGCTGAATGCCTTATCAAAGAGCTTGTTGGTTTCTACTTCTCTCCTCAGTTTTATGGATGATATACTGTATCATAATAATGCTGACTGTTTGTTGGTGTAACGTATACGCCGGGAGTCAGGAAGCAGGTGCAGAAGGTGAGTTTAATAATGAAATGATACAAATTAACAAACATGAGAAGCGTACTGAACGTGAGAGAAGACAATACTACCTAATGACTGATGACAACTGAGAGCTAAATAAAGGGGGAGTAAATCAAGGAGAAAATGATGACCAGGTGTGCGTAATGATGGTTGCCAGGTGTGAGCAATGTGGGTTGCCAGGACCGGTGGTTAGTAGAGACCCAAGAGACAGATTCCAACATCTAAATAATAATAATACTTAATACTTCAGGAATCAAGGAGAAAATGATGACCAGGTTTGTGCAATAATGGTTGCCAGGTCCGGAGGTTAGTAGACCGTCGACGTCGAGCGCCGGAGGGAGGGAGCAGGAGTAGGCGTGACGGTTACACCCAGACGGCGGAGTTGGAAATCCTGGATGATGTTAGGGTCCAAGATGTCCGCCACCGGGACTCGAGAGCGCTCCTCTGGACCGTACCCCTCCCAGTCCACTAGGTACTGGGGCCGACCCTCACGTCGGGAGTCCAGGAGGGACCTAACAGCATAGGCGGGGGTCCCCTCGATGTCCAGGGGATGCGGAGGGGTGTCGTGTGGGCGGCATCAGCCAGGGGATCTAGAACCACCGGCCTGAGGGAAACATGAAAGGAGGGTGAGATCCAGTAGTTGGTGGGGAGTTTGAGACGATAGGTTACCTCAATGACCCTCCGGAGGACCTTGAAGGACCCCACAAACCGGGGGCTTATCTTAGCAGAGTGGGAGGTTCCTGGTGGAGAGCTAGACGCGATCACCAGCATGGAACATGGGAGCCTCACTGTGGTGGCGGTCTGCCTGATCCTTCTGATGGCGCGCTGGAGCCTCACGTAGGCAGCGTTCCACACCACCTCTGCACACCGGAACCACTCGTCGACTGCAGGAGCCTCAGTCTGGCTCGTAGTCCACGGAGCCAGGGCCGGCTGATATCCCAGTACGCACTGGAAGAGAGTCAGCCCGGTGGAGGAGTGTTGAAGTTAGTTCTGGGCGTATTTGGGCCCAGGGAAGGAACCAGGCCCACTCCCCCTGCCGGTCCTGACAGTGACTCCTCAGGAACCTCCCCAGCTCCTGGTTGGTCCTCTCCACCAGCCCGTTGGACTGAGGCCGGGACCTGGATGTGAGGCTGACCGTGACCCCCAGCTTCTCCATGAAGGCTCTCCAGACCCGTGACGTGAACTGGGGGCCACGGTCGGAGACGATATCCTCCGGAAGGCCATAGAAGACCTGCTGAAACAGTACCTCAGCGACCTGGAGAGTAATATAGGGATAAAACGGCAGGATTTAGATACAGTGGGGGAAAAAAGTATTTAGTCAGCCACCAATTGTGCAAGTTCTCCCACTTAAAAAGATGAGAGAGGCCTGTAATTTTCATCATAGGTACACGTCAACTATGACAGACAAATTGAGAAAGAAAATCCAGAAAATCACATTGTAGGATTTTTAATGAATTTATTTGCAAATTATGGTGGAAAATAAGTATTTGGTCACCTACAAACAAGTAAGATTTCTGGCTCTCACAGACCTGTAACTACTTCTTTAAGAGGCTCCTCTGTCCTCCACTCGTTACCTGTATTAATGGCACCTGTTTGAACTTGTTATCAGTATAAAAGACACCTGTCCACAACCTCAAACAGTCACACTCCAAACTCCACTATGGCCAAGACCAAAGAGCTGTCAAAGGACACCAGAAACAAAATTGTAGACCTGCATCAGGCTGGGAAGACTGAATCTGCAATAGGTAAGCAGCTTGGTTTGAAGAAATCAACTGTGGGAGCAATTATTAGGAAATGCAAGACATACAAGACCACTGATAATCTCCCTCGATCTGGGGCTCCACGCAAGATCTCACCCCGTGGGGTCAAAATGATCGCAAGAACGGTGAGCAAAAATCCCAGAACCACACGGGGGGACCTAGTGAATGACCTGCAGAGAGCTGGGACCAAAGTAACAAAGCCTACCATCAGTAACACACTACGCCGCCAGGGACTCAAATCCTGCAGTGCCAGACGTGTCCCCCTGCTTAAGCCAGTACATGTCCAGGCCCGTCTGAAGTTTGCTAGAGTGCATTTGGATGATCCAGAAGAGGATTGGGAGAATGTCATATGGTCAGATGAAACCAAAATATAACTTTTTGGTAAAAACTCAACTCGTCATGTTTGGAGGACAAAGAATGCTGAGTTGCATCCAAAGAACACCATACCTACTGTGAAGCATGGGGGTGGAAACATCATGCTTTGGGGCTGTTTTTCTGCAAAGGGACCAGGACGACTGATCCGTGTAAAGGAAAGAATGAATGGGGCCATGTATCGTGAGATTTTGAGTGAAAACCTCCATCAGCAAGGGCATTGAAGATGAAATGTGGCTGGGTCTTTCAGCATGACAATGATCCCAAACACACCTCCCGGGCAACGAAGGAGTGGCTTCGTAAGAAGCATTTCAAGGTCCTGGAGTGGCCTAGCCAGTCTCCAGATCTCAACCCCATAGAAAATCTTTGGAGGGAGTTGAAAGTCTGTGTTGCCCAGCGATAGCCCCAAAACATCACTGCTCTAGAGGAGATCTGCATGGAGGAATGGGCCAAAATACCAGCAACAGTGTGTGAAAACCTTGTGAAGACTTACAGAAAACGTTTGACCTGTGTCATTGCCAACAAAGGGTATATAACAAAGTATTGAGAAACTTTTGTTATTGACCAAATACTTATTTTCCACCATAATTTGCAAATACATTCATAAAAAATCCTACAATGTGATTTTCTGGATTTTTTTCCCTCATTTTGTCTGTCATAGTTGACGTGTACCTATGATGAAAATTACAGGCCTCTCATCTTTTTAAGTGGGAGAACTTGCACAATTGGTGGCTGACTAAATACTTTTTTCCCCCACTGTAATCTGTCAACAACAGCCAGAATAGTGGTAAAACATCAGAAAGGGGGAGATCAGTTACAAAGTTTATGGACAGATGTGACCAAGGCTGCTGAGGAAGGGGAAGTAGTTTCCCTGCTTGGCCGTGTCGGGGAGATTTGGATTGGGTACATATGGAGCATGAGTTGACAAATTGGGCGACGTCCTGCACCAAGGTGAGGCCACCAGTACTTCTCGGAGAGGGATTGGATGGTGCGGGTGATTCCTCGCCGCTGGACACCCAGGTATGTGTGTGCCCAGGTCAACAGACGATCTCTCACCCCCATTGAGACGTAGAGGCGTTCTGGAGGGCAGGTAGCAGGAGCGTGTTCCCTCTCCAGAGCCTGGCGGATGTCCACATCTACGTCCCAAAACACGGGGCCAACGATATTGGAGGACCGATTTGAGCACACTTACAGGACTCTCAACCGGCGTGGAACCACAGGGTACGGGAAAGCAGGTCCTCCGGCATCCTGGTCCCCAGGGGTTGATTTTCATCCTCGACCAGGAGATGGTGGGGTTGTGACGTTGGAGCCACGGGAGACCGAGGATTACTTTGTGTAAGGGTGCGGTGGTGATGAGGAAGGGAAGGCTTTCCTGGTGCCTGGGTCCCACGGTGAGGGTGAGTGGTGCTGTGATGTGATGTGCGTAATTGTGCCGGATCCCGATGGTCACATATCCAGGGCTTGGACAGGAAAAGGAGAGCGGGTATGAAGTTAAGTTCAGGGAAGAGGCGAGAGCCTGGTCGATGAAGTTCCCAGCGGCACCGGAGTACACTAGAGACAACACGTGAGGGACAGCCAGCCAGTGAAATGGGGAACCAGAAAGGGTTTGGCAGAAAACTATGATAATGGAATTCTCACGCCTACCCTGGGAGACGGAAGGTCACTGCCCTCTGCTCTAGGTTAGGATGCACCCTGGGTTAGGATGCACCCCGGGTTAGGATGCACCGGACACTGCTGAAGCTGGTGCCCCTCCTGGCCGCAATAGGGACAAATAATCGTATTGGCCACATGCGCCGAATACAACAGGTGTAGACATTACAGTGAAATGCTTGCTTACCTTAACCAACAATGCAGTTTCAGAAGAAAATAAAAATAGCAAATAATTAAAGAGCAGCAGTAAAATAAAATAACAGTAGGGAGGTTATGACTAAAATGAAATGATGATATACAGGGGGTACCGGTACAGAGTCAATGTGCAGGGGCACTGGTTAGTCGAGGTAATTGAGGTAATATGTACATGTAGGTAGAGTTAAAGTGACTATGCATCAATAATTAACAGAGTAGCAGCAGCGTAAAAGAGGGGGGCAATGCAAATAGTCCGGGTATCCATGATTAGCTGTTCAAAAGTCTTATGGCTTGGGGATAGAATCTGTTAAGAAGCATTTTGGACCTAGACTTGGCGCTCCGGTACCGCTTGCCGTGCGGTAGCAGAGAGAACAGTCTATGACTAGGGTGGCTGGAGTCTTTGCTAATTTTTAGGGCCTTCCTCTGACAGAGCCCCAGCTGTCTCATGAACCTCTCATAGGAACCCAGTTCCTCCTCTCCTCTCTCCCAGACGGCCGTGGCCCACTCCAACGCCCGTCCGGTCAGCAGGGAAATGACCGTGGCAACCTTTGACCTCTCGGTGGTGGGGGGCTCCCGTCTGATATGCGAAATAAAGGGAGCACTGGAGTAGGAAGCCACGGCATTTTGATGGAGTACCGTCATACTTCTCCGGGAAGGGAAAGTCGGGCATCGCTGACCTGGACGGACGGCTGGGTAGGCTGGGGGACTGGCTCACTGTGACGACCCGTGGTAGGAGGCCCTCTGATAGGGGTATGGAGATGCATAATGATGGGGACCAGGTGTGCGCAATAATGGTTGCCAGGTGTGGCCAATGTGGGTTGCCAGCACCGGTGGTTAGTAGACCGGCGATGTCGAGCGCCAGAGGGAGCAGGAGTGACAGTTGGTTTCTACTGCTCTCCTTTATATGGATGATATACTGTATCATAATAATGCTGACTGTTGGTTGGTTTCTACTGCTCTCCTTTATATGGATGATATACTGTATCATAATAATGCTAACTGTTGGTTGGTTTCTACTGCTCTCCTTTATATGGATGATATACTGTATCATAATAATGCTGACTGTTGGTTGGTTTCTACTGCTCTCCTTTATATGGATGATATACTGTATCATAATAATGCTGACTGTTGGTTGGTTTCTACTACTCTCCTTTATATGGATGATATACTGTATCATAATAATGCTAACTGTTGGTTGGTTTTACTTTTCTTCTCAGTTTTACCATCAACAACAGACAGACATTCTTCTCGAACTCCACCAGAAGCAGAATAGTCCACCATGTTCTCCAACGCACCAAGTATGAGGACGGGAAGTCTAAGATGGGTACGGAGCTAAGCTAGCTATCTATCTACAGTGCATTCGGAAAGTATTCAGGCCCCTTGACTTTTTCCACATTTTGTTACGTTACAGCCTTATTCTAAAATGGATTAAATCGTTTTTTTCCTCAATCTACACACAATACCCCATAATGACAAAGAAAAAACAGGTTTTTAGACATTTTTTCAAATGTATTACAAATAATAAACTGAAATATCACATTTACATAAGTATTCAGACCCTTTACACAGTACTTTGGTGAAGCACTTTTGGCAGCGATTACAGCCTCGAGTCTTCTTGGGTGTGACGCTACAAGCTGGCAAACCTGTATTTGGGGAGTTTCTCCCATTCTTCTCTGCAGATCCTCTCAAGCTCTGTCAGGTTGGATGGGGAGTGATGCTGCACAGCTATTTTAAGGTCTCTCCAGAGATGTTCGATCTGGTTCAAGTCCCGGCTCTGGCTGGGCCACTCAAGGACATTCAATGACTTGTCCCGAAGCCACTCCTGCATTGTCTTGGCTGTGTGCTTAGGGTCGTTGTCCTGTTGGAAGGTGAACCAGTCTGAGGTCCTGAGTGCTCTGGAGCAGGTTTTCATCAAGGATCTCTCTGTACTTTGCTCCGTTCATCTTTCCCTCGATCCTGACTAGTCTCCCAGTCCCTGCCGCTAAAAAACATCCCCACAGCATGATGCTGCCACCACCATGCTTCATCGTAGGGATGGTGCCAGGTTTCCTCCAGATGTGACGCTTGGCATTCAGGCCAAAGAGTTCAATTTTGGTTTCATCAGACCAGAGAATCTTGTTTCTCATGGTCTGAGAGTCCTTTAGGTGCCTTTTGGCAAACTCCAAGCGGGCTATCATGTGCCTTTTACTGAGTGGCTTCCGTCTGGCCACTCTACCATAAAGGCCTGATTGGTGGAGTGCTGCAGAGATGGTTTTCCTTCTGGAAGGTTCTCCCATCTCCAGAGGAACTCTGGAGCTCTGTCAGAGTGACCATCGGGTCCTTGGTCACCTACCTGACCAAGGCACTTCTCCCCCGATTGCTCAGTTTGGCCGGGCGGCCAGCTCTAGGAAGAGTCTTGGTGGTTCCAAACTTCTTCCATTTAAGAATGATGGAGGCCACTGTGTTCTTTGGGACCTTCAATGCTGCAGAATTTGTTTTGGTACCCTTCCCTAGATCTGTGCCTCGACACAATCCCGTCTCGGAGCTCTATGGACAATTCCTTCCAACTCATTGCTTAGTTTTTGCTCTGACATGCACGGTCAACTGTGGGACCTAATATAGACAGGTGTGCTTTTCCAAATCATGTCCAATCAAGTTGTAGAAACATCTCAAGGATGATCAGTGGAAACAGGATGCACTTTAGCTCAATTTCGAGTCTCATAGTAAAGGGTATGAATACTATATAATAATAATATTATTTTTAATACATTTGCAAACAATTCTAAAAACATGTTTTTCGCTTTGTCATTATGGGGTATTGTGTGTGAGTGTGTATATTTTAATACATTTTAGAAAAAGGCTGTGACGTAACAAAATGTGGAAAAAGTCAAGGGGTCTGAATACTTTCCGAATGCACTGTATCAGTCTCTCTCCACTTATTTAAAGTGGGTTGTCCTTCCTTCTTTAGTCGCATCATGCAGCCTTACAATGTATTAAAAATCAAAACATATATATATATATATATAGCCCAACGTTTGTAGAACAACTAAAGTTACATTAATAACTCTAAATTAAGCATATAGGAATACCTATTTCTTTGTTAACCGCTCAACACAGAATAGCCGCATGTGCACACTCCCTCAAATCGTTTGGAGAAAATATCCTTTCTATTTTATTCAGCTTTGTTCAAATTGTATTCTTCATACTATAAAATAATGCCACAAAATTCTAAGCAAATCTTGTCTGCTAAATGAACTAGTGTAGCCCACAGCCATTTGGCATAGCCAGATCAGGACCTAACATAAGGACAACTCAGAGTATGCTATTCTGTTCTTCTGAAATTGACTACATTTTCTTCATATCATGTTTCTTTAGACCTGTCTAAAATAAATAATGGATTTATTGTGAAGGTGTAGGCTATATTACATGGATTTATTAGACTTTTTAATATGTAGATGTTCCAAAGGTCCGCATCAGTGGCTTGTAGGCTGTGTGTGGAAGTCAGGAGATGCTAAATGTGTTTATGTTAATTAACGGTCAATTACCGTGAGACCGACAGTTATTTGCTTGAATATCACCGGCTGACGAAATTTCGTGATTGCCACAGTCCTACCTGTGGTAAATTTGATTGATTGGAGATGATTTGGAAAGGCACACACCTGTCTATGGAAGGTCCCACAGTTGACAGTACATGTCAGAGCAAAAACCAAGCCATGAGGTCGAAGGAATTGTCCGTAGAGCTCCGAGACGGGATTGTGTTGAGGCACAGATCTGGGGAAGGCTACCAAAAAATGTCTGCAGCGTTGAAGGTCCCCAAGAACACAGTGGCCTCCATCACTCTTAAATGGAAGAAGTTTGGAACCACCAAGACTCTTCCTAGAGCTGGCCGCCCCGGCCAAACTGAGCAATCGGGGGAGAAGGGCCTTGGTCAGGTAGGTGACCAAGGACCCGATGGTCACTCTGACAGAGCGCCAGAGTTCCTCTGTGGAGATGGGAGAACCTTCCAGAAGGACAACCATCTCTGCAGCACTCCACCAATCAGGCCTTTATGGTAGAGTGGCCAGACAGAAGCCACTGCTCAGTAAAAGGCACATGACAGCCCGCTTGGAGTTTGCCAAAAGGCACCTAAAGAACTCTCAGACCATGAGAAACAAGATTCTCTGGTCTGATGAAACCAAGACTGAAGTCATTGGACTGAATGCCATTTAGCAGACGCTCTTATCCAGAGCGACTTACAGTTAATGAGTGCATACATGTATTATTATTTTTATTTTTTTCATACTGGCCCCCCGTGGGAATAGAACCCACAACCCTGCCGTTGCAAGCGCCATGCTCTACCAACTGAGCTACAAGGGGCCCTGGATTAGCGCACGCACACATGCACACCATATATTACAAGCATCCTTACGCAATGACCAATCTACCCCCCGTTAGCTACCCCAGTGAAAATGTTTGCCACTGATCAGTTGGATTCGAGGCTATTCTGTGACCTAGCCTGCTACAGACACCCACCGCGCTCCGTCTAGTTTCCCTAGGCAGACAGTTTGCCTCCCACGTTAACAATATTCCAGCATACACGGCTAGTGCAGATGCCCAAGGTCTGTAACAGGGGGACACAATTATCTAGTCCCACTTCCACCACCACAACCAGGGGTGCCATCGAACATAACTAGCTCATCATTGACCTTCTCTGTTTATATCATGCAGTATAATAATCATTATTAGAGAACTGGGGTTGGCTTTAGATAGAATCCTCAGTGGCGGCCTCTGTCTAATTGTGATGGGGTCTAGCAATGCATTTTGAGTCTTGGGAAGGGAAAACTATTTTTTTTAAATTATTATAGCATATTTCCAGTCTACTATTGGTTCTGCTTGGCAGGATGATGTTATTAAGTGTTTTTCTTCTATTGTAGGTATCAACAGGTTATTGGGCAATGGAACATATGAGGCTGCATTTCCGCCACACGAGGTACGAACATCGTTATAATGATATTAGGACATTAAAACACTGTATTATTATTATTACTAATACAGATTACTATTGTTATACAGTGCACTTAAATTTCAGGGGTGTCTGCTACGTGTCTTCCAGCCTCCTCCTTCACTCTTACTAGCACTGCTTTTGCAGATGTGCGTTATATATTGGCGTAGTCGGCAGGATGTGATTTATCATAAACTCAACCTCTAACGAATTAGAGACCATGGGCCATATCCACAAAGCGTCTCCAGAGTGCAGAATTGACCGTAAGTGCTGAGAATAGAGACATTTTACCCCTACTCTGATGGGTCAAAATAAAAGCTATGCATGAAGCCTCTTTAGTCATAAGAGTCCCACCTAGTTGACAGATATTGACCTATATTATATTATATTATATTCACCTCATGAGGTGTCCTAACCAGTTAAGTTACCAGTAGGTGTCTTTATAATAGAAAAAGTATTCAGTGGATCCTGTGCCGCATGCAATTGCTTTGGAGTGGTTGAAAGAACGTATTAATATTTCTATGTGATCAATCAAGAAATAATCTAGACCTACATGCTTCTGAAAATGATTTCACATGACTCTTATTTCACACGATATACCAAAAATACTTATAACCACATAAGCTAATAAATAATCATATATTTTTCTTTAGGTTACTTAATTAACCTACATCGTGTTATTTCAAGTTATCCCTTTGGAGAGCAATAACACATTGTTAAAAAAAATGGGCCTGACTTGCATATAAATTGGGCAATTAAAGGCATCTAGGGCCTATGTTAACTTTGATTGTGTTCGATGAAAACGGGAGTGACGAGTGTGTTGATATAACTGTAATAAAACAATTTACGTCAGCTTTTAACAACCATCAGAATTGGTCCAAAATAAAGTATTATGCACCCCAAGCGCTATTGATTATTCCTCGTCATTTGCAACAAAGTCAATGAGCGTATTCTTCCTTTGCGGTACCTCAAACTGTCGTGAGATTGACCAGCTGAGATTAACTTTATGAGTTGATTTTACTCATGGCTCAGACTTTGTCTGGGCAGTGTCTTAACATCATCCTAAAACCTACTCTGAGCTGAGATTTTTGTTGTCTTAAAAAAGGTTTTAACAGGATTCCTCGGACCTTTCCTGAGATGCTTTGTGGATACGGGCCCTTGGGCCCTCCATCGTTAGAACCTTCGTAGGAGCATCGTTAAATCTCTGAGCTGTTTCCCAAAACCGCCGTTACTAAAGTTGCACTTGAAAACGCTCCTAATTTACCGACTGCCTCAAATCAGTGTGTCGTAAGATCAATTTTATACACAGAACATATTTATCTGTCTCCGTGGCCGTCGATAACTTCCCAACGAAGTTGACTACACATACAAAGTTGCCTGTGTCTTTGCAATTGTTACAAACAAGCTAAGGATAAAAATATGCTTAAGATGAAAACCGAGATGACTGCATTAAAATATAAATAGCCTACCTACAGTTATGCCTATATATTTAAATTATATTGAAATCAATTTCATGTTCATTCAATTTAGTCTTATTTGGCTACTGTCTGTAATTTTTGTCTCAATATATTTCATGATGTGTAGCCTAACTGGTGATCAATGATGTGCCAAATCTTGATTTAGTGCATTATGTTAGGGTAAGCGTTAGAATACGCCTGCAGCACTATTTGCAACCATAGGTGATAATCCTTTCTTTCGATCCTATCAGTATCGACACTATGCCTCAACGACGCATTTTAGCGAACATTCTCGCTGCGTGGTGTTTTGGGAGACACATGTTATGTCTTCTGCCTTGCATCGTTAAAACACTCGTAAGCCTAAATTCCATCGCTGTCGGGAAACCGTGCCTTGTTATTGTTTTAACAATTACATTACAAAGATAAGGATTGCTATACATAGTACACTTGTGTTACTAACCATTTGGGGCATTACATTTGGCGTAGTCGGCAGGATTTGATTTATCAAAAACTCCACCTGTTACATAAGGTTCTGTGCCTCTGTTTCAAGGCGGATACAAAAGCATGGGATTAGCCTAGTGCAGGGTTCTTCAATTCCGGTCCTGGAGGGCCGAAACACCTCTGTTTTTCAACCTCTCCTTCTAATCAGGGGCTAATTCAGACCTGGGACACCAGGTGAGTGCAATTAACTACCAGGTAGAAATAAAAAAACAGAAGTGTTTCGGCCCTCCAGGACCGAAATTGAAGAACCCTGGCCTAATGTCTACCTGTCTTCTGCTAGTGTGAATTATCTGCGTTCTGTGCTTCTGGGCAGATATAAAAGAGTTGGCTACAGCCCTTACAGTAAGGAACTAGGCTGTCACTACAGCTGTAGGATCATACTTTGTGTCACCCTGTTGCGGGAGAACTTTCCTGCACAGCAGAAAATGTAAACTTGTAGTGTATTTGTGGTTTAAAAAGGCTTCTGAAGTTTGACATTTCCACTTTGACATTTCAGACTTGATTTTTTCCCTTACGAAAAAATTTCTCAACCCCTTATAATCCACATAATAATTCACATTTCCTGTTGCTGCAGGATTATTTTCCTGCTGTAGCAAACTGGCTCAAATGAAGATCCACCTGTTAATTCTCTGGATACCAAAAGTAGATCCGGTAGTGGGACTAGACCAGTGACCACCTGTCTTCCACTAATGTTCGTTCTCAGTGTCCTGTGCTTGTGTTTTCAGGGTGGCTACAAGAGCCAACACCCTATTAAGACCCACGGTGCCCAGAACCACAGACACCTGCTGTACGAGAGGTGGGCTCGCTGGGGCATGTGGTTCAAGTACCAGCCTCTCGACCTTATCAGGTAGATGTGTGTGTGTGTGTGTGTGTGTGTGCGTGGAGTCTGTATAATGAGCCAAGGCTGTGCTCATGTAATGTGTCAGGGCAGGAACCCCCACAGGGACCCCGAGGCAAAGTTCCCTTCTCAGGAGTCCTATCTAAATTAAATACAGCAGCTAGGTCTGAACCGGTCCAATGTACCAGTCGACCCATAACTAGGTTCTAACAGGTCCAATGTACCAGTCGACCCATAACTAGGTTCTAACAGGTCCAATGTACCAGTCAACCCATAACTAGGTTCTAACAGGTCCAATGTACCAGTCGACCCATAACTAGGTTCTAACAGGTCCAATGTACCAGTCGACCCATAACTAGGTTCTAACAGGTCCAATGTACCAGTCGACCCATAACTAGGTTCTAACAGGTCCAATGTACCAGTCGACCCATAACTAGGTTCTAACAGGTCCAATGTACCAGTCGACCCATAACTAGGTCTGAACCGGTCCAATGTACCAGTCGACCCATAACTAGGTCTGAACCGGTCCAATGTACCAGTCGACCCATTACTAGGTTCTAACAGGTCCAATGTACCAGTCGACCCATAACTAGGTCTGAACCGGTCCAATGTACCAGTCGACCCATAACTAGGTCTGAACCGGTCCCATGTACCAGTCGACCCATAACTAGGTCTGAACAGGTCCAATGTACCAGTCAACCCATAACTACAGTGAGGGAAAAAAGTATTTGATCCCCTGCTGATTTTTTTTACGTTTGCCCACTGACAAAGAAATGATCAGTCTATAATTTTAATGGTAGGTTTATTTGAACAGTGAGAGACAGAATAACAACAAAAAAATCCAGAAAAACGCATGTCAAAAATGTTTGATTTGCATTTTAATGAGGGAAATAAGTATTTGACCCCTTTGCAAAACATGATTTAGTACTTGGTGGCAAAACCCTTGTTGGCAGTCACAGAGGTCAGACGTTTCTTGTAGTTGGCCACCAGGTTTGTACACATCTCAGGAGGGATTTTGTCCCACTCCTCTTTGCAGATCTTCTCCAAGTCATTAAGGTTTTGAGGCTGACATTTGGCAACTCAAACCTTCAGCTCCCTCCACAGATTTTCTATGGGATTAAGGTCTGGAGACTGGCTAGGCCACTCCAGGACCTTAATGTGCTTCTTCTTGAGCCACTCCTTTGTTGCCTTGGCCGTGTGTTTTGGGTCATTGTCATGCTAGAATACCCATCCACGACCCATTTTCAATGCCCTGGCTGAGGGAAGGAGGTTCTCACCCAAGATTTGACGGTACATGGCCCCATCCATCGTCCCTTTGATGCGGTGAAGTTGTCCTGTCCCCTTAGCAGAAAAACACCACCAAAGCATAATGTTTCCACCTCCATGTTTGACGGTGGGGATGGTGTTCTTGGGGTCATAGGCAGCATTCCTCCTCCTCCAAACACGGCGAGTTGAGTTGATGCCAAAGAGCTCCATTTTGGTCTCATCTGACCACAACACTTTCACCCAGTTCTCCTCTGAATCATTCAGATGTTCATTGGCAAACTTCAGACAGTTATGTATATGTGCTTTCTTGAGCAGGGGGACCTTGCGGGCGCTGCAGGATTTCAGTCCTTCACGGCGTAGTGTGTTACCAATTGTTTTCTTGGTGACTATGGTCCCAGTTGCCTTGAGATCATTGACAATATCCTCCCGTGTAGTTCTGGGCTGATTCCTCACCGTTCTCATGATCATTGCAACTCCACGAGGTGAGATCTTGCATGGAGCCCCAGGCCGAGGGAGATTGACAGTTATTTTGTGTTTCTTCCATTTGCGAATAATTGCAACAACTGTTGTCACCTTCTCACCAAGCTGCTTGGCGATGGTCTTGTAGCCCATTCCAGCCTTGTGTAGGACTACAATCTTGTCCCTGACATCCTTGAAGAGCTCTTTGGTCTTGGCCATGGTGGAGAGTTTGGAATCTGATTGATTGATTGCTTCTGTGGACAGGTGTCTTTTATACAGGTAACAAACTGAGATTAGGAGCACACTCTTAAAGGGAGTGCTCCTAATCTCAGCTCGTTACCTGTATAAAAGACACCTGGGAGCCAGAAATCTTTCTGATTGAGAGGGGGTCAAATACTTATTTCCCTCATTAAAATGCAAATCAATTTATAACATTTTTGACATGCGTTTTTCTGGATTTTTTTGTTGTTATTCTGTCTCTCACTGTTCAAATAAACCTACCATTAAAATTATAGACTGATCATTTCTTTGTCAGTGGGCAAACATACAAAATCATCAGGGGATCAAATACTTTCTTCCCTCACTGTAGGTTCTAACAGGTCCAATTGGACTATATCTTGATCATTGAACTTCTTTCCTCTGTATGAAACACATCTGAAATACAACTAAGTTTGAAATTGGTCCAATTTCAATTCAACCCCAATGCAGCTGCCTGCGATGTTTTTCCTAATCTATTTAGTTTGTTGGACTCCTGATGAAGGGCTATTGACAAAATGTTGAGGTGAGATGCATTAAAATTATTAGTTGTGCATTAAAGATCACATCTGTGCTTTTATTAATAGTTTTTTCATTCGTCCATCTACCTGGAAACATGACAGGTGTGCTAAATATACCTGTACTCATTTATATTAATGGACTTGTTTCCTTTTCAGGCAAATACAACTAGGTCTGAATGGCTCCAATTTAATCAATCCATGTCGGGGAGTCTTGCTAATCCATTCTCTCTATTGGGCTTTACTTTGGGGAGGAGGTCGGCCTGTACCTTGCCTGGTTGCAGGCTTTACTTTGGGGAAGAGGTCGGCCTGTACCTTGCCTGGTTGCAGGCTTTACTTTGGGGAGGAGGTTGGCCTGTACCTTGCCTGGTTGCAGGCTTTACTTTGGGGAGGAGGTCGGCCTGTACCTTGCCTGGTTGCAGGCTTTACTTTGGGGAGGAGGTCGGCCTGTACCTTGCCTGGTTGCAGGCTTTACTTTGGGGAGGAGGTCGGCCTGTACCTTGCCTGGTTGCAGGCTTTACTTTGGGGAGGAGGTCGGCCTGTACCTTGCCTGGTTGCAGGCTTTCCTTTGGGGAGGAGGTCGGCCTGTACCTTGCCTGGTTGCAGGCTTTACTTTGGGGAGGAGGTCGGCCTGTACCTTGCCTGGTTGCAGGCTTTACTTTGGGGAGGAGGTCGGCCTGTACCTTGCCTGGTTACAGGCTTTACTTTGGGGAGAAGCTTGGCCTGTACCTTGCCTGGTGGGTTACAAAGTACCTGTTTTCTGCCAGGCATACAGCTGGGTCTGAATTTAAGGTCAACCCCAACCATTTTAGGGAGCTTTTGCTAATCTATCTTTTTTCATTGGACTTTCCTCTCCAGGCGTTACTTTGGGGAGAAGATTGGGCTGTACTTTGCCTGGCTGGGCTGGTACACTGGCATGCTGATCCCTGCAGCTCTGGTGGGTCTCCTCGTCTTCCTCTACGGACTCCTTACTATGGACACTAGTCAAGTCAGGTCAGTCAGGACACACCAGGGCAGGGGTTAAATTGGGCCGGGTCCGAGACCCGGCACCTATGATCCAAATGAGAGCCAGGCGGAGCTGTTACCGGGTACCTTTGGTTATTTGAATAATCTAATGAAATTTTTTTTGGTCCACATTACATTTTCTACAGCTAACAACACAAGTAAGCAACAGCAAAATCAGACAACCCCATAGTAGAATAGTTGACCTGTTCAGCCTGTCGCCGTCTGTGTAAGAAAATTATATTCCTCTCGAGGCACATTCAAATTGCAAGTGCCGCACAGGGAGAGAAATATGCATGGCCCAGTCATTGTAGGCTACAACATTCTAAATGCAGTCACAGGAAAAACCCACCTGTGAAAGCAGTTTTGACGGTCACTGTTAAAAGGAGGACGATCACTGAGCTTTCGAGTGTTACATTTACATTTACGTCATTTAGCAGACGCTCTTATCCAGAGCCACTTACAGTGTTACTAGGCTACGCTTATTTGTCAAATCCAAGAAATTAGTAAAAATGCACCATTTTAGAACCAGAGATTTTAGCAGCGTCAATGGCGTTGAATGAATAGGGAAAACCGGGGCTAAATGTAACAGGGGGCCCGGTGTAACGGCCTACATTATATTCACAGTACATGATCCTTGGGGTTGGCTAAGTGCCAGTGCAATGTTTTTTTGGGGGGGACACTCGGAAGTCATCAATATGTTGCTAACTAGCAACAAGATAGCCTGACGTTTAGACTAGAGTTTGTGATCTAGTTAATGATTATCCCAATGGGATACATGCAGATGGGTAACCCTCAGCCTGTTTATTTATAGCCACTATGCTGCATCGGATGGGCTATATCAGGTGATGATGTTTATTGCTAAATAGCACACCTGACTGATAATATGGAACAATATGTTATTGGGCTCATTTCTGGAGGGGGAAATTATATTTTATTTTATTTTATTCTGTAGTAGAATGTCCTTTTGAAAAATCACCAGAACTGACCTTCTCACAGTCGTTCTCCCCCAATAAACTGTGGGTCCCTCCGCAACCCCACCTCTCCCCACCCCTGCACCTGGGCATCGTGTTCTCCCCCAATAAACTGTGGGTCCCTCCGCAACCCCATCTCTCCCCACCCCTGCACCTGGGCATCGTGCTCTCCCCCAATAAACTGTGGGTCCCTCCGCAACCCCATCTCTCCCCACCCCTGCACCTGGGCATCGTGCTCTAACACCCTCCACTCTGCCCAGACTACAGTAACAGTAAATGGAAAACATCCTGGATGCGTCTCAAATGGCATTCGGTATTCCATTTTCCTTTTATAGTGCACTACTGTGGGCCCTGGAATAGGGTGCCATTTTGGAATCAGACCAGAACTCTCCATTAAAGTGTTATTGATGTCGCAGAATGGTTTCAAATCGCAGTTTGTTCACCCTTATCCTAGTCCCCCCTAACCCCTATGCCTTAACCATTACCTTAACCCTAACTTTGTCTAACCTTAACCTTTTGGATTTACCCGTTGAATATCCTTTTTCTAATTACATAAGGCCTTAGAATCACCTTCTAATGATTCATTTGCATTTGGATTATCTTCGTTTGGGGTTTTTCATCTCCTCTTTTGATATTGTGTTTTAAAGACATGGAAGTTCTGTCTGTCTAATGTATCTTCCTGTTTCGTCCCATCAGTAAAGAGATCTGTGAGGCCAACACTACGATCATGTGTCCTATGTGTGAGCAGAACTGCAACCCCTGGAAACTCAGTGACAGCTGTGTCTATGCAAAGGTCAGTAATAAGACCACGAAGCTATTCTGTTCTGCTTTTCCACCTTGGGAGCTCAGTGACAGCTTTGTCTATGCAAAGGTCAATTAGATGCTGATATATCGTAAAACAGTTTGAGATCATTAACATAAATGTGCTAATTAACTCACCCAAGATTTGGCGGCTTCCATGATTAGTAACACCCATGAGGAATTAGAACTATGCTGTATGTGTAGAAGTACTATACTATTAATATTAGCTAGTACTGTAGTAAACAGAAGTACTATTACTATTAGCTAGTACTGTAGTTTGCAACGCCAGGGTTGTAGTACTGTAGTAAACAGAAGTACTATTACTATTAGTACTGTAGAAGTAATATTACTGTTAGTGCTGTAGTAAACATAAGTACTATTACTGTTAGCTAGTGCTGTAGTAAACAGAAGTAATATTACTGTTAGCTAGTACTGTAGTAAACAGAAGTAATATTACTGTTAGTACTGTAGTAAACAGAAGTAATATTACTGTTAGCTAGTACTGTAGTAAACAGAAGTAATATTACTGTTAGTGCTGTAGTAAACAGAAGTAATATTACTGTTAGCTAGTACTGTAGTAAACAGAAGTAATATTACTGTTAGTACTGTAGTAAACAGAAGTAATATTACTGTTAGTACTGTAGTAAACAGAAGTAATATTACTGTTAGCTAGTGCTGTAGTAAACAGAAGTAATATTACTGTTAGTACTGTAGTAAACAGAAGTAATATTACTGTTAGTACTGTAGTAAACAGAAGTAATATTACTGTTAGCTAGTACTGTAGTAAACAGAAGTAATATTACTGTTAGTGCTGTAGTAAACAGAAGTAATATTACTGTTAGTGCTGTAGTAAACAGAAGTAATATTACTGTTAGTGCTGTAGTAAACAGAAGTAATATTACTGTTAGTACTGTAGTAAACAGAAGTAATATTACTGTTAGCTAGTACTGTAGTAAACAGAAGTAATATTACTGTTAGCTAGTGCTGTAGTAAACAGAAGTAATATTACTGTTAGTACTGTAGTAAACTGAAGTAATATTACTGTTAGCTAGTGCTGTAGTAAACAGAAGTAATATTACTGTTAGCTAGTGCTGTAGTAAACAGAAGTAATATTACTGTTAGCTAGTACTGTAGTAAACAGAAGTAATATTACTGTTAGTACTGTAGTAAACAGAAGTAATATTACTGTTAGTACTGTAGTAAACATAAGTAATATTACTGTTAGCTAGTACTGTAGTAAACAGAAGTAATATTACTGTTAGTGCTGTAGTAAACAGAAGTAATATTACTGTTAGTGCTGTAGTAAACAGAAGTAATATTACTGTTAGCTAGTACTGTAGTAAACAGAAGTAATATTACTGTTAGTGCTGTAGTGTCTCCTGAGTGGCGCAGTGGTCTAAGGCACTGCATCGCAGTGCTAACTGTGCCACTAGAGATCCTGGTTCGAATCCAGGCTCTGTCGCAGCCGGCCGCGACCGGGAGACTCATGGGCGGCGCACAATTGGCCCAGGGTAGGGGAGGGAATGGCCGGCAGGGATGTAGCTCAGTTGATAGAGCATGGCGTTTGCAACGCCAGGGTTGTGGGTTCGATTCCCACGGGGGGCCAGTATTAAAAAATATATATGTATTCACTAACTGTAAGTCGCTCTGGATAAGAGCGTCTGCTAAATGAATAATGATAAAATGTAATGTAAAATGTAGTAAACAGAAGTAATATTACTGTCAGTACTGTAGTAAACAGAAGTAATATTACTGTTAGCTAGTACTGTAGTAAACAGAAGTAATATTACTGTTAGTACTTCGAATTCCAATTCTCTTCAATGCGTTTCAGTAGCTAGGTTTCCATCCAATTGGTGATAGATTTTCATGAGAATATTCTAGAATCCGCACATTTTCCAACTAGTGGGCTGTTTCCACCAAATGGACTTGTTGAGGATAACAATCAGCGTGATGACGAAGTGCACAAAATGTACTTTTTTCACTTATGTTTTCATACTGGCCCCCCGTGGGAATCGAACCCACAACCCTGGCGTTGCAAGCGCCATGCTCTACCAACTGAGCTACACGTCACCAGAAACTCCTGTTTCCATCACCGCGGTGGTTAAAATTTTTTTTTCAAAAATGAAGACATGACTTAAACTGTGGATGGAAACGTGGTTAATGAGAAAAATGTGGAATTGGGATTTGACTTTCGGAATTGACTGGAATTTAAATAGAATGTTGACCCCAGCCCTGTAAACTCCTGAGTGGCGCAGTGGTCTAAGGCACTGCATCGCAGTGCTAACTGTGCCACTAGAGATCCTGGTTCGAATCCAGGCTCTGTAGCAGCCGGCCGCGACCGGGAGACCCATGGGGCGGCGCGCAATTGGCCCAGCGTCGTCCAGGGTAGGGGAGGGAATGGCCGGCAGGGATGTAGCTCAGTTGATAGAGCATGGCGTTTGCAACGCCAGGGTTGTGGGTTCGATTCCCACGGGGGGCCAGTATAAAAAAATATAATATGTAATCACTAACTGTAAGTCGCTCTGGATAAGAGCGTCTGCTAAATGACTAAAATGTAATGTAAATGTATCACACTACTGCTGATATAGGCTGAGCGATGCTGACCAACTCAGTGGTCTTGTGGTTAGTGTGTCCACCCTGAGATTGAAAGTTTGGGAGTTCGATTCCTGGCCGAGTCATACCAAAAGACTGTAAAAAAAATGGGACCCAGTGCGTCTCTCCTTGACACTCAGCATTTATGAGCTAGATCGGGGTTAGAGTAGCGTCCTATCCAGGGTGTGTAGGCCTACTTGAACACCAAGCTGCCTCACACCACAGAAACAGGAGATAGGCTCCTGATCCAGTTAGCCGTTCAAGGCTACTTGCACTGGAAAATACAAGGCACACGGGAAATTACTCCCGTCGATGCAAAATACACGAGCTCCACCGAGCTTCACTAACCTCCACAATAAACAATCACCCCACGCAGACAAGGAAGCAGAGGGAACACGTATACCATGACTAATGAGGGAATAAGGACCAGGTGTGTGTGATTGAAGACGAGACAAATGGAGTGATGATAAATGGATCGGCAGTGGCTAGAAAGCCGGTGACGCCGAACGCCGAAACCTGCCCGAACAAGGAGGGGAGGCAGCCTCGGCAGAAGTCGTGACAGCCTGCAGGGATGTCATCGACGTTCGTGTCATGGTCCTCTGTAGCTCAGCTGGTAGAGCACGGCGCTTGTAACGCCAGGGTAGTGGGTTCGATCCCCGGGACCACCCATACACAAAAAATGTATGCACGCATGACTGTAAGTCGCTTTGGATAAAAGCGTCTGCTAAATGGCATATTATTATTATTATTATCATGGTGCCTCGTTCCAGCAGGTATTGACTATTGATTCTAACCCAAAGGAATTGTTTATTTACCTCTGAGTCTGTTTCTGCAGGTGACTCATCTCTTTGACAATGGAGGAACTGTGTTCTTTGCTATCTTCATGGCTATATGGGGTAAATACATTATTCTGACATTTTTCTCAGTCTCTCTCTGGTATCCATGTTTGATACCATTCCATTCACACTATTCCAGACATTATTAAAGAACAGAGTAGCAGCATCACATGATGAGTGTAAAAGTTTGTGTGTGTGCGTGTAATGTGTATGCATGTGTGTTTGAGTTGTGTCGGTGTGTGTTATTTGTGTGGGAGTGTCAATGTAGTGTGTGTGAATGAGTGTGTATATGCTGTGTACATACAGTGCCTTCGGAAAGTATTCAGACCCCTTGACCTTTTCCACATTTTGTTTCGTTACAGCCTTATTCTAAAATGGATTAAATAAATAAAAATCCTCATCAATCTACACACAATACCCCATAATGACAAAGCGAAAACAGGTTTTTAGACATTTTTGCAAATGCATAAGTAAGTTAAAAAACAGATACCTTATTTACATAAGTATTCAGACCCTTTGGTATGAGACTCGAAATTGAGCTCAGGTGCATCCAGTTTCCATTCATCATCCTTGAGATGTTTCTACAACTTGATTGGAGTCCGCCTGTGGTAAATGCAATTGATTGGACATGATTTGGAAAGGCACACACCTGTCTATATAAGGGCCCCACAGTTGACAGTGCATGTCAGAGCAAAAACCAAGCCATGAGGTCGAAGGAATTGTCCGTAGGGCTCCGAGACAGGATTGTGTCGAGTCACAGATCTGGGGAAGGGTACCAAAACATTTCTGTACCGTTGGTGATCAGGCCTGCCACCGTTGTGTCGTCAGTGTCTGGGATGATGGTGTTAATGTGTGTCATGACCAGCCTTTCAAAGCCCTTCATAATTACAGATGTGAGTGCTACAGGATGATAATAATTTAGGCAGGTTACCTCGGAGCTCCTGGGAACAGGGACAACGGTGGTCAGTTTGAAACATGTTGGGATTACAGGCTGGGACAAGGAGAGATTGCCAGCTGGTCTGCGCATTCTTTGAGAACGCACCCTGGTATTCTGTCTGGGGGCGGCCTGCCTTGTGATTTGATAACCTGTTTAAGCGTTTTGCTCACGTCGGCCACGGAGAGTCGAGATCACACAGTCATCCGGAAAAACGGGGGGGGGGCTTTCTCTCAGTTGAATGTTCCAACGGCCCAAGAGATTTGGTTATTTTCAATAATTTGTGGGCAAACACACACACACACACACACACACACACACACACACACACACACACGCAACATTTACCGTTACACAACTGTAACCAGCGGTAAATTGAGTCTGCACACGGCTCCAAAAATAAATAAATAACTTCTTCACCTGAGAAATCAAGACAATAACTAGAGCAAGATACATACTGTAAAAATAAAAACTTTCTACAAAATAAATCTATAATGTTAATTACTCTACGTCTCCTTGCCATTGTCATTAATGGGAGAAACCTATTTTTTGCAAACATATAATGGGGGTCCTTGGTGGTTTGCCTGTTAGCCTGGGTGGGGGTCCTTGGTGATTTGCCTGTTAGCCTGGGTGGGGGTCCTTGGTGGTTTGCCTGTTAGCCTGGGTGGGGGTCCTTGGTGGTTTGCCTGTTAGCCTGGGTGGGGGGGTCCTTGGTGTTTTGCCTGTTAGCCTGGGTGGGGGGTCCTTGGTGGTTTGCCTGTTAGCCTGGGTGGGGGTCCTTGGTGGTTTGCCTGTTAGCCTGGGTGGGGCGTCCTTGATGTTTTGCCTGTTAGCCTGGGTGGGGGTCCTTGATGTTTTGCCTGTTAGCCTGGGTGGGGGTCCTTGGTGTTTTGCCTGTTAGCCTGGGTGGGGGTCCTTGGGCAAGAAAAGGTTGTTCATTGCTGTAAACAAGTAATTAAAGAAGACAATTAGATTTCTATACTAAATGAATCTGTCAGACTACTTTGAGTTAATTTCTTTGATTGGACTCTTTGGCTTACTAATTTAAGTCTAACAGTAATGAGTAATTAAGCTGAGGAATGAAACACCCAGGAGGGAGAATCTGTGCGCCACACAGCACCACACTGATGTTAGCTAACACCACACCTGGCTGTTGGACCGTGTCCCGGCATCGTTCTCTAACACCTTCCCAAAGCAATCTTTTAATACCTCCACTCTGTCCAACGAGACTCCAATAAAGTACGTGGAAAACGTCCATGTGCGTCCAAAATGGCACCCTGTTCCCTTTATAGTGCACTACATTTGATCAGGGCCCAATAGGGCACTGGTCAAAAGTAGTGCCCTTTTATATGGAATAGGGTGCCATTTTTGGACGAAGGCCCAGACTCCATTACAGTGAATGGGACGTTTCACTGTAGGCTACCGCAGCCAAACCCTATACTGTACTGTGAATCGAATGTAAAGTTTATTGCGTACACAGTTTAGTTGGTGTTATAGCAGGTGCAGCAAAATGCTTATGTTGTTAGCTCCTAACAATGCAGTTGTTTCCACCACTCCAGCCGACGCTTGGCATTGCACATGGTGACCTTAGGCTTGTGTGCGGCTGCTCGGCCATGGGAACCCATTTCATGAAGCTCCCGACCAAACAGTTATTGTGCTGATGTTGCTTCCAGAGGCAGTTTGGAACTTGGTAGTGAGTGTTGCAACCGAGGACAGGCGATTTTTTTTTTTTTTACGCGCTTCAGCACTCAACAGTCCCGTTCTGTGAGCTTGTGTGGCCGACCACTTCGCGGCTGAGCTGTTGTTGCTCCTAGACGTTTCCACTTCACAATAACAGCACTTACAGTTGACCGGGGCAGCTCTAGCAGGGCAGAAATTTGATGAACTGACTTGTTGGAAAGGTGGCATCCTATGACGGTGCCACGTTGAAAGTCACTGAGCTCTTCAGTAAGGCCATTCTACTGCCAATGTTTGTCTATGGGGATTGCATGGCTGTGTGCCATTGCATGGCTGTGTGCTGTGATTTTATACACCTGTCAGCAACGGGTGTGGCTGAAATAGCAGAATCCACTAATTTGAAGGGGTGTCCACATACTTTTGTGTGTGTATATATCGTGTATGTACACGAGGAATTTACACAAGATCTACTAAGAATGATATGAACAGCAGTGTATATATTAGAGGAAGTTATGTCACGAATCCAGTGTATAAATAAATATGTGGTGTGTGTATAACTGTATTGTTGGTTAAGGGCTTGTAAGTAAGCATTTCACTGTAAGGTCTACACCTGTTTTTATTTTTATTTGATTTAAACAGTGTAACTAAAATACAAGGTAGAGTAGTAGAAATATTATGATGAGCTATGTCAGGGATACAGTATTTAAATACACATTGTGAAACGGGAAGTGACCAGTGGTTCAATGTCTCTATAGCATGGGACAGCAGCTGTGTGTGTGTGTGTGTGTGTGTGTGTGTGTGTGTGTGTGTGTGTGTGTGTGTGTGTGTGTGTGTGTGTGTGTGTAGATGAGGGAAAGAACCCAGGCATCTAAAGCCTGTTTTCCCCATGTACTCTCCCTCTTTAAACAGAAGTGGTTCAAGCTCTATTCAAGTTGAATCTTGCTGCCCATTTAAAAATACATTCGCATCACTTTTTGAAATCACCATATTCTCATGTGTATCCAATGTTTCTGTGTTTAGGGAATGTGCCGTAGAGTTATTCCCCCTTGAGAATTCAAATATCAATGTGGGCCCTCCCAAAATTGTCAAAGATATTGACTTTACCCCCTAGAGACGTCAGGCACCCCCAAGAGACATCAGGCACCCCCAAGAGACATCAGGCACCCCCAAGAGACATCAGGCACCCCCAAGAAACGTCAGGCACCCCCAAGAGCTATTATTCCACTCCTTGCCACTCCTTGTCATGCAAAACATGACACGTCACGGAGTACAAGGAGCGGAATATTTGCAGAACAGGTTCAGGATTTCAGGCTCTACTGGGATAGATCACTGAAGTCATTCCATGGAAGGTTGATTGATCCCTGTTCCGTGTTCTGTTGGAATGTTGTCCCTGTAGCCACGGTGTTCCTGGAGTTCTGGAAGAGGAGGAGGGCGGAGCTGACATATGACTGGGACCTCATCGACTGGGAGGAGGAAGAGGTTGGTCCAGTCAGAAATATCTGGTTTATTCATGTGATATCACGTCAGAGACACGTGTGTACATGTATGTAGACTAGTGTTCAGCCGTTTCTCATTCAGCAATATCTGGTTGATGTCATACCATATTCAGCCATTTCAATGTCTCTTATGATACAGAAAAAGCATTGACTGGATGGGGGTATCTATGATTGGGTGAAGTCAGAAATATCAGAGTGATTGATAATGGAGTGTGTGTGTGTGTGTGTGTTTGTCCCAGGAGAATCTGCGGCCCCAGTTCGAAGCCAAGTACTCCAGGGTAGAGAGAGTAAACCCTGTCTCTGGCAAGCCGGAGCCCTTCCAGCCCTTCACTGACAAAGTCAGCAGACTCATGATCTCTGTGTCCGGCATCTTCTTCATGGTAAGACCCTGTGGTCCTCTGTAGCTCAGCTGGTAGAGCATGGCGCTTGTAACACCAGGGTAGTGGGTTTGATCCCCGGGACCACCCATACGTAAAAAATTTATGCACACATGACTGTAAGTCGCTTTGGATAAAAGCGTCTGCTAAATGGCATATTATTATTATTATTATATTATTATATATGAGTTATCAGGCTGTACTGTCTGTCTGTCTGTCTGTCTGTCTGTGTCTGGGATCTCCTTCACAGGTAAGACCTTCCATCACACAAATAAAAAGGCTGTGGTGTGGATCTATCCTACACACTGCAGGGTTTGGGATCAATTCCATTTCAATTCAGCCAATTCTAGAAGTACACTGAAATGTTTTAATTGAAAATCTAATTGGAACTGGAATTTCGGTTTACTTTCTAAATTGACTGAATTGAAATGGAACTGACCCCAACCCTGGAACACGGTTTACTACCTACCAGAGTGATTAGCTTCTATCAGCCTGCTACCGCCCCCTGGTGGAGGGGATCCATCACTGCAACAGCCACTCCTTGGAAACAGTTGACTCTGCCCCTCAGTAGTTGTGATATTGTTTTTCATTGTTCATTGTTGCTCATCACTCAACTACAATAAGGAAGTGTCTAGAGTCTGTGACATGTAACAGTGACTCATTGTTTAACAATATGACTCCATAGAGTCTAGACGTTGTAAATGTACGATCCCAGACCCAGCCAGGATGGCATTACCCCAAAACTGACAGCTTCAATACATTATCCTCAGAGGATGATGATTTATCTGACCGGTATAGTTCTTCTTTCTATTTCTGTCTGTCTCTCTCTTTCTCCCCCCCCTCCCCGCTTCTTTCTCTCTGTGTGTCCTCCAGATCTCTCTGGTCCTGACGGCGGTGTTTGCGGTGGTGGTGTTCCGACTGATCGTCATGGAGAAGTTTGCATCTCTCGACTGGGTGTTTGTCAAGAAGAACTGGCAGTTTGCCACCTCTGGCACCGGAGTCTGTATCAACTTCATGATCATCATGTCTCTGAATGTGGTGGGTGCAGGCCAAACCAAACCATAGAATAGTGTAATTATATTTGATCCACAATCAGAAGAACAGATGTCATGTCCCTCAATGTGGTGGATGTCTGGCCAAACTATTAAGCCAAGCCACCTCATCCACAGTCGTGCATGACTCCCGAGTGGCGCAGTGGTCTAAGGCACTGCATCGCAGTGCTAGCTGTGCCACTAGAGATCCTGGTTAGAGTCCAGGCTCTGTCGCAGCCGGCCGCGACCGGGAGACCCATGGGCGGCGCACAATTGGTCCAGCGTCGTCCAAGGTATGGGGAGGGTTTGGCCGGCAGCGATGTGGGTTCGTTTCCCATGAGGGGCCAGTATGATTTTTTTTAAATGTATTTTTTATTAAACATGTATGCATTCACTAACTGTAAGTTGCTCTGGATAAGAGCGTCTGCTAAATGACTAAAATTTAAAATAATGTTGCATATTGATCCAAAGCCAAATTGTAACTTTCTGTTCACCATGTCTGTGAATGTGGTGGGTATCTGGGTTATCTCTCTTCAGGTATATGAAAAGGTGGCTTACCTGCTCACCAATTTAGGTGAGCATAACCCTCATTCGATACACATATGCTTCATTAACAGCTTCAGAGGTACATGTCAACTTCTGTCATCTCTCTCGCTCTCTCTCTCTCTCTCTCCCCCTCCCTCCCTCTATCTCTTCCTCTGTCTCTCTCTCTCTCTCCCTCTCTCTCTCTAGAACACCCACGGACTGAGTCAGAATGGGAGAACAGTTTTGCTCTCAAGATGTTTCTCTTCCAGTTTGTTAACTTGAACAGCTCTACGTTCTACGTCGCGTTCTTCCTTGGAAGGTAACTATTAGAAGGTCACCTTCTAAACAAGTGGTCCTCTGTAGCTCGCCCGGTAGAGCACGGCGCTTGTAACGCCAAGGTAGTGGGGTTCGATCCCCGGGGACCACCCATACACAAAATAAAAATGTATTCACGCATGACTGTAAGTCGCTTTGGATAAAAGCGTCTGCTAAATGACATATTATTATTATTTGTAACAGACGGTTTTATGGAAGCCGCCCTCAATACATTTAACAGCAGAAGTCCTACAAGCTCCCCCCCCCCCCTTTTTTTTTCCCATTGCAGGTTATCTTTTCTATAAGAATAAACCCGTTTTTAGAATTACATGATTCCTCAAGATTCCCCCGAAATAAGTTGATTCACCAAATAAGTTTTCTGTGTGAGTAAGGTTCTGTGCAAGTTTCAATCCCCCCCCACCCCCCCCCCCCCCCCCTCTTCACTCTGACCTATGTTTAGGAGCTAATATCTTCACTCTGACCTATGTTTAGGAGCTAATATCTTCACTCTGACCTATGTTTAGGTTCGCCGGCAGACCAGGGAAATACAACAAACTGTTCAATAGTTGGAGGCTGGAGGAGGTGAGTGGAGTCAGGAAGCAACAATAAAACTACGTCTGCATCCCAAATGGCACCCTGTTCCCTATACAGGGCTCTGGTCAAAAGTAGTGCACTACATAGGGAATAGGGTGCCATTCTCTGGTCTAAAGTAGTGCACTATATAGGGAATAGGGTGCCATTCTCTGGTCTAAAGTAGTGCACTATATAGGGAATAGGGTGCCATTCTCTGGTCTAAAGTAGTGCACTATATAGGGAATAGGTGCATTCTCTGGTCTAAAGTAGTGCACTATATAGGAATAGGGTGCCATTCTCTGGTCTAAAGTAGTCACTATATAGGAATAGGTGCCATTCCGGTCTAAAGTATGCACATAAGGGAATAGGTCCATTCTCTGGTCTAAGTATGCACTAGCATAGGGAATATGCCTTCTCTCTAAGTAGTGATTAGGGAATAGGTGCCATTCCGGTTAACGTAGGCACTATATAGGGAATAGGGTCTATTCTTTTAAAGTATTGCACTACATAGGAAAATTCCTTTGCCGTCTAAAGTATCACCTCATCTATGGAATATCCGTTTTTGGTCTTGTAAGTGCCTATATAGAACATTCTCTGTCAAAATGTGCTATTAGGAATAGGTGTGCCATTCTCTGGGCTAATATGACTATGAGGTAGGGTCCATCTCTGGTTAAAGTAGTGCATTTAAGTGAATAGGTCCTATTTCATGGGTTAAATAGTGAATATAATAGGGATAGGGGCCATTCTCTGGTCAAAGTAGTGCACTATATAGGGAATAGTGCCATTCTCTGTCTAATAGTGCACTATATAGGGAATAGGGTGCCATTCTCTGGTCTAAGTAGTGCACTATATAGGGGAAAAGGGTGCCATTCTCTGGGCAAGTAGTGCACTATATAGGGAATGGGGCCATTCTCTGGTCTAAAGTAGTGCACTACATAGGGAATAGGGTGCAATTTTGGGACGCTACCCCGGTTATTACACTGTTAGAGATGGTTATTAACAATAAAACAATAATAAAGCAATAAAGCAATAAAAAAAGGTTATTATTTAAACACTGTTAAGGCTGCTATTGCCTTTCCATTTGAGGGGAGATTTTACGGCGCACAATAGCGATTCATCATCTTATTCGTTTTAATTATTACTTTTGCATAACATGTAATAATTCCTTTGCCCGTAAAATTTCACCATTCATCTCTTTCGTAACTAATCCGTTGTGGTTTGTAACGGTGCTAAAAACAAAACACTCAAAATGAGCTTGAAATGAGTAGCAGTCATCGCCCATGAATTTGAGTTTGTCATTTAAAAAGTGATTTAATGAAGCTCTCTCTGATTTAGCATGGGGTTAAATATGAATATAATAATTTGGGATTGTTTTACTTAGTTTGATTTTATTCAGTGCCACCACAGTGGCAGGAAGTATGGTTTCACTCAGTGATTTGTAATTAATAGTTGTTTTTTTGTTATTGTTTCTTTCTTTCAGTGCCACCCCAGTGGCTGTCTGATCGATCTGTGCCTTCAAATGGGAGTCATCATGGTACTAAAACAGATCTGGAACAACTTCATGGAGTTGGGTTATCCGTAAGTACCATGGAATTTCTCTCTTTCTCTCTCTTTTCTCTCTCTCTCTCTCTCTCTCTCTCTCTCTCTCTCTCTCTCTCTCTCTCTCTCTCTCTCTCTCTCTCTCTCTCTCTCTCTCTCTCTCTCTCTCTCTCTCTCTCTCTCTCTCTTTTCTCTCTCTGTCTCTCTCTCTCTCTCTCTCTCTCTCTCTCTCTCTCTCTCTATCTCTCTATCTCTCTCTCTCTCTCTCATGAAAAGGGTCCCTGAACATGACAGATACAGCGCCTTCAGAAAGTATTCACTCCCCTTGACTTTTTCCAAATTTTGTTGTGTTACAGCCTGAATTTAAAATAGATTAAATTGACATTTTTTTTGTCACTGGCCTACACACACAATACCCCATAATGTCAAAGTGGAATTATGTTTTTCGAAATGTGTACAGATTAATTTTTATAAAAAATGAAATAAGTATTCAACCCCTTTGTTATGGCAAGCCTAAATAACTTCAGGATAAAAAAAATTGCTTAACAAGTCACCTAATAGGTTGCATGGACTCATGCAACTTAGAAATAGTGTTTAACATGATTTTTGAATGACTACCTCATCTCTGTAACCCTCACATACAATTATCTGTAAAGTCGAGCAGTGAATTTCAAACACAGATTCAACCACAAACACCAGGGAGGTTTTCCAATGCCTCGCAAAGAAGGGCACCTATTGGTAGATTAAAATAAATAAAAAGCAGACTGAATATCCCTTTGAGCATGGTGAAGTTATTAATTACACTTTGGATGATGCATCAATACACCCAGTGATACAGGTGTCCTTCCTAACTCAGTTGTCGGAGAGGAAGGAAACCGCTCAGGGATTTCGCCATGAGGCCAATGGTGACTTTAAAACGGTTAGCGTTGAATAGCTGTAATAGGAGAAAACTGAGGATGGATCAACAACATTGTAGTTACTCCACAATACTAACTTAATTGACAGAGTGAAAAGAAGGAAGCCTGTACAGGATAAAAAATATTCCAAAACATGCATGCTATTTGCAACAAGGCACTAAAGCAATACTGCAAAAAATGTGGCAGAGCAATTCACTTTTTGTCCTGAATATAAAGTGTTATGGTTTGGGGCAAATCCAATACAACACATTACTGAGTACCGCTCTCCATATGTTCAAGCATAGTGGTGGCTGCATCATGTTATGGGTATGCTTGTAATTGTTAAGGACGGTAGAGTTCTTTAGGATAAAAAAGAAACGGAATGGAGCTAAGCACAGGCAAAATTCCTAGAGGAAAACCTGGTTCAGTCTGCTTTCCACCAGACACTGGGGGATAAATTCACCTTTCAGCAGGACAATAACCTAAAACACAAGGCCACATCTACAGTCGTAGTCAAAAGTTTTGAGAATGACACAAATATTAATTTTCACCAAGTCTGCTGCCTCAGTTTTTATGATGGCAATTTGCATATACTCCAGAATGTTATAAAGAGTGATCAGATGAATTGCAATTAATTGCAAAGTCCCTCTTTGCCATGAAAATGAACTTAATTCCCAAAAAACATTTCCACTGCATTTCAGCCCTGCCACAAAAGGACCAGCTGACATCATGTCAGTGATTCTCTCGTTAACACAGGTGAGAGTGTTGACGAGGACAAGGCTGGAGATCACTCTGTCATGCTGATTGAGTTAGAATAACAGACTGGAAGCTTTAAAAGGAGGGTGGTGCTTGAAATCATTGTTCTTCCTCTGTTAACCATGGTTACCTGCAAGGAAACACGTGCCGTAATCATTGCTTTGTACAAAAAGGGCTTCACAGGCAAGGATATTGCTGCTAGTAAGATTGCACCTAAATCAACCATTTATCAGATCCTCAAGAACTTCAAGGAGAGAGGTTCAATTGTTGTGAAGAAGGCTTCAGGGCACCCAAGAAAGTCCAACAAGCGCCAGGACCGTCTCCTAAAGTTGATTCAGCTGCGGGATTGGGGCACCACCAGTGCAGAGCTTGCTCAGGAATGGCAGCAGGCAGGTGTGAGTGCATCACAAAATAGATGTCATCATGAGGAAGGAAAATTATGTGGATATATTGAAGCAACATCTCAAGACATCAGTCAGGAAGTTAATGCTTGGTCGCAAATGGGTCTTCCAAATGGACAATGACCCCAAGCATTCTTCCAAAGTTGTGGCAAAATGGCTTAAGGACAACAAAGTCAAGGTATTGGAGTGTCCATCACAAAGCCCTGACCTCAATCCTATAGAAGATTTGTGGGCAGAACTGAAAAAGCGTGTGCGAGCAAGGAGGCCTACAAACCTGACTCAGTTACACCAGCTCTGTCGGGAGGAATGCGCCAACATTCACCCAACTTATTGTGGGAAGCTTGTGGAAGGCTACCCGAAACGTTTGACCCAAGTTAAACAATTTAATGGCAATGGTACCAAATACAAATGTAGTGTATGTAAACTTCTGACCCACTGGGAATGTGATGAAAGAAAAAAATGCTGAAATAAATCATTCTCTCTACTATTATTCTGACATTTCACATTCTTAAAATAAAGTGGTGATCCAAACTGACCTAAGACAGGGAATTATTACAAGGATTAAATGTCAGGAATTGTGAAAAACTGAGTTTAAATGTATTTGGCTAAGGTATACAGTGGGGGAAAAAAGTATTTAGTCAGCCACCAATTGTGCAAGTTCTCCCACTTAAAAAGATGAGAGAGGCCTGTAATTTTCATCATAGGTACACGTCAACTATGACAGACAAAATGAGGAAAAAAATTCCAGAAAATCACATTGTAGGATTTCTAATGAATTTATTTGCAAATTATGGTGGAAAATAAGTATTTGGTCACCTACAAACAAGCAAGATTTCTGGCTCTCACAGACCTGTAACTTCTTCTTTAAGAGGCTCCTCTGTCCTCCACTCGTTACCTGTATTAATGGCACCTGTTTGAACTTGTTATCAGTATAAAAGACACCTGTCCACAACCTCAGTCACACTCCAAACTCCACTATGGCCAAGACCAAAGAGCTGTCAAAGGACACCAGAAACAAAATTGTAGACCTGCACCAGGCTGGGAAGACTGAATCTGCAATAGGTAAGCAGCTTGGTTTGAAGAAATCAACTGTGGGAGCAATTATTAGGAAATGGAAGACATACAAGACCACTGATAATCTCCCTCGATCTGGGGCTCTACGCAAGATCTCACCCTGTGGGATCAAAATGATCACAAGAACAGTGAGCAAAAATCCCAGAACCACACGGGGGGACCTAGTGAATGACCTGCAGAGCTGGGACCAAAGTAACAAAGCCTACCATCAGTAACACACTACGCTGCCAGGGACTCAAATCCTGCAGTGCAGACGTGTCCCCCTGCTTAAGCCAGTACATGTCCAGACCCATCTGAAGTTTGCTAGAGTGCATTTGGATGATCCAGAAGAGGATTGGGAGAATGTCAGATGAAACCAAAATATAACTTTTTGGTAAAAACTCAACTCGTCGTGTTTGGAGGACAAAGAATGCTGAGTTGCATCCAAAGAACACCATACCTACTGTGAAGCATGGGGGTGGAAACATCATGCTTTGGGGCTGTTTTTCTGCAAAGGGACCAGGACGACTGATCAGTGTAAAGGAAAGAATGAATGGGGCCATGTATCGTGAGATTTTGAGTGAAAACCTCCTTCCATCAGCAAGGGCATTGAAGATGAAACGTGGCTGGGTCTTTCAGCATGACAATGATCCCAAACACACCGCCCGGGCAACGAAGGAGTGGCTTCGTAAGAAGCATTTCAAGGTCCTGGAGTGGCCTAGCCAGTCTCCAGATCTCAACCCCATAGAAAATCTTTGGCGGGAGTTGAAAGTCCGTATTGCCCAGCGACAGCCCCAAAACATCACTGCTCTAGAGGAGATCTGCATGGAGGAATGGGCCAAAATACCAGCAACAGTGTGTGAAAACCTTGTGAAGACTTACAGAAAACGTTTGACCTGTGTCATTGATAACAAAGGGTATATAACAAAGTATTGATAAACTTTTGTTATTGACCAAATACTTATTTTCCACCATAATTTGCAAATAAATTCATTAAAAATCCTACAATGTGATTTTCTGGATTTTTTTTTCTGATTTTCTCTGTCATAGTTGACGTGTACATATGATGAAAATTACAGGCCTCTCTCATATTTTTAAGTGGGAGAACTTGCACAATTGGTGGCTGACTAAATACTTTTTTTCCCCACTGTATGTAAACTTCCGACTTCAACTGTACAGTACGAAAAATGTATGCACTCACTAACTGTAAGTTGCTCTGGATAAGAGCGTCTGCTAAATGACTAAAATGTAAAATGTACATATGAGTAATGCAAGATATATAAACATTATTAAAATGACTAGTGTTCCAATTATTAAAGTGGCCAGTGATTTCTAATCTAGGTACAGTGAGGGAAAAAAGTATTTGATCCCCTGCTGATTTTGTAAGTTTGCCCACTGACAAAGACATGATCAGTCTATAATGTTAATGGTAGGTTTATTTGAACAGTGAGAGACAGAATAACAACAAAAAAATCCAGAAAAAAACGCATGTCAAAAATGTTATGACTTGATTTGCTTTGTAATGAGGGAAATAAGTATTTGACCCCTCTGCAAAACATGACTTAGTACTTGGTGGCAAAACCCTTGTTGGCAATCACAGAGGTCAGACGTTTCTTGTAGTTGGCCACCAGGTTTGCACACATCTCAGGAGGGATTTTGTTCCACTCCTCTTTGCAGATCTTCTCCAAGTCATTATGGTTTCGAGGCTGACGTTTGGCAACTCGAACCTTCAGCTCCCTCCACAGATTTTCTATGGGATTATGTCTGGAGACAGGCTAGGCCACTCCAGGACCTTAATGTGCTTCTTCTTGAGCCACTCCTTTGTTGCCTTGGCCGTGTGTTTTGGGTCATTGTCATGCTGGAATACCCATCCACGACCCATTTTCAATGCCCTGGCTGAGGGAAGGAGGTTCTCACCCAAGATTTGACGGTAC